AATAACGCGCCGACTTCTGCCACTCTTGGCACGGCATAACTTTCCAAAGTTCCAAGACTCAGATCCAAATCTGTTTGCCAAAGTTCCATCCCAACTTCCCAACTTCCGATTGCCAAGCACGAAGCTCATCAGTCGTTTCTTCTGTGCGGCGGCTGTGCCAGACACAAGAGGGAAGAATAAATGACATGACACCAAAATGTCCAAGCAAACGTCGGCATGGCACTCGCATGGCCTGTCTTTCAACGGTTTTTTTTCTCAAATCAGTGCCCACTGCCGAGTGGGCACGTAAATCATCGTGTGTCTTGAACGGCTTCTAGCATGACACGGCCCATTTCGGTGAGATTCAAGAGGATATCAAGAGAGGGGTAACACCATCAATATCCTTACCTTACCAAACCATCCATCCACACGGGAGAGACAGGTACACAAAGACACACGGAGTAGTCCCTAGAAACTTGGAAAAGCCTACCGCCGCTAGGACTTCTTCTTTCCTAACCCGTCATCCAATCCGGGACGGCATGAAAACGCGCCTTGGCTTTCGCTGCCCAGGGAGCAGATTCATGCCTTCTTCCTCTCGGTAGGCTGCGTCCGGGAGCGAACTGTCAACTGTGAATTTCTGGAAAGTCTGTACCGTACGCGTCCCTTTGGATCGCCGAATGGGCATCCGTGCTCTTACTCGGCCCCGAGCCGCATCGCATTGCATCGCAGTATACCACACCCGTACTGCACCGCATCGCATAGCGTAGCGTATCGGCGTGCCGCCTACTCGCTCACAGACAATACGGATACCACACACATACACACACAAAATATCTTGCTGCGTGGTACTTTACCGCACCGCGGCGCGGCGCAGCGCCGACTTCTGATAGGAGCTGTCTTGACTTTCTTTGTTGATCTGTTTCGCTTTCTTTACCCCCCGGTCGGCCGCGGCTGACTGGTCATGTAAGCCGAGCTGCAGGAGTGTTGCCTGGTAGCCTGCCGCGATGTTTGGCCTCTCCGATCACGCGCGGCACGGACGATGCTGTCGGTTCTACGTGCTGCGGTCAGCATTCTACGTGAAACGGCCAATAGATGAGCTTTCTAGGGGTTTTCTCGATGTGGCGGCGGCGGGTGGGCAAAAGTACGCTGCGGGATCTGCGCTTGTTGTTGTTCTCCAGACCGGCGACGGTATATCTGCGCGCGAGAGGGGGGAACGGGAGGGTCTTGCCGCCGATACCGCGGCGGCGATGTATCTTCCAGTGATAGACAGATGCCTTCGATGTGCTTGACAGTGCGGTTTCCAGGTTGGCATGTTGATGTTGAGCCTCAGCGACCAGCCATGATAGTCGCCGCCTTTACCTACTTCTTTGCGGCCTGGGTAAATGATGTATTGTTGCTCTCCATGAGCAGGTGACTTCCGAATGCCAACTACTAAGCTTGGATCCAGAGGCTTATCTATGGGAGACTTCACTGCAATTATAACGCCGCTGGAGGTAATCTGACGCCTTGGAATCCTCGTGACTAGGCGGGACGGGCCATCCTGTGCCTGCGAACCTAGCTGTACCTAGACGTAAAGACATGAAAAGCATATCCGCCATTGACGAATCCAAGTCTGTAGTGCGCATATAGTCGAGAATTTGCACACTTCGCAGCAACATGGCTATCGAGCAATAAGTTCTTATAATTCTGACTGGCAAGATGAGGTTCGTGTCACATGTGTGGCTTGCGTCTCCCGCGAGATTCGGGAGGACAGCCAGACGACCCAAAGCGGCAATGAATATATGACCCACGTCCTATAGACGAATTAAAAGAGGCCATGCAATATTCGTATCCCGGCGAATCATGAGAGTTCCCTAAAGGAGGAGAGGCGGCACTGCCATTTCACTGCAGTTTTGACTCTCCTCAAGTGATTCATACTCATCCGCAGCGTGTTGGAATTCCATTGTGTTGGAACAGCAAAGGCTGATAAGGAGTAATAGGCAGGTACCATGGGCTGGCTGGCACCTGCCCTAGGCGAAGTGGGACAACTGGCTTAGTCATCACGGCCGGATAAAGGTGGGGCAACCACCCAGGCCGTCACTACCTACTTCGACCGACTCCTGCCTACAATGTAAGATAGAAAAACAAGAAGAACAAGCAATAGGATCACCAACAGACGAGTGATAATTGCTACCACTATTTGTCGTATACGACCCCGTGGAACCAACACATTGATTCTATCGTGCATCCGCTAGGTACATGTAGCTACTGAGGTTGGCCTAATGTGCACAAGATCGGACAAATGTATCGCCAAGAATTAGCTCTCGATTCAAGATTCTGTACGTTTGATATGGCTTGACTACATTACACTACACTCCCGCCAATGATGCAAGTCATTGCTCACCCATGTCAGTCATCTCAATTGCCAGTAAGTTGGTACTACACAGACATGTGTTTTTGGACTGAAATTTTCACAAACAGTAAGATTTGCGACATGGTACTTCATTCCGGTAATTGCATTATTCCGTACAGATATGACCGCAACAATTGGCTGTCAAAAGTTCACAAGGTGGTTGTTCTTGACGTCCAATAATAGCATTGCGGCACGTGACAGACTTCGTTATCGGAGCATTCCCCACCGGCAAAACACCGGCGATCTTATCGCAGCGGGACCCTGGTGTAGATGACACCTGTGAGCTACGGAACCACGGTAGCCAATGCGCGGCGCGATTGTCTAAGCAGCTTCAAGGTGGCCACACGAACAACGGGCACCTCACCACCTCAACTTTGACTTTCTCTGCATGTGAGCGAACCCTCAATCACACGGCACGATGCGCCGTTTCAATCTACTTTTGCTGGCCACGGCCCAGCTGTGCGGTGCTCGTCATCCTGGCTTTAGCATCCACGATGACCTCGTGGCATATCCCCAGGTTCGTCCGATCCCAAGGAGTTCAAGGGAAGCTCTAGCAGGCAAGCTGACAGTGTGCGCGCGCAGTATGAGATAGTCTTTTCGGAATCCTTCATCTTAGAACACGAAGCGCAGGCGTTACTGGACCGCACGAACCCGCATTCTGCCTACTCGGCGGAGTTCTCGACAGCTTCCGACGTCTCCCAGAACGTCCGGGAGGCCACTGACGCCGACAATGGCCGCTCCTCCGAGGTCTTTGAGCGATACGAGCTCATGAACACGGCTGACTTGAAGTACCTCTGCTCGATACCCATTCTGGAGCCCCAGACTCCCGAGAACCACACGGCGACGGAGCTCGCGAAGCAGGAGGAGGCACGCGAGCTGGCAAAGGCCTCGGCGCACGGCTGGGAGCTGCTGGACGAGCTGGACGGCAACTGCCTGTACTTCATGTCCGGCTGGTGGAGCTACAGCTTCTGCTACAACCGCGAGATTGTACAGTTCCACGCCCTCCCGACGGTCCCCAACGGGCAGCCGCCCGTCCGCGACCCTCACACGGCCGAGTACGTCCTCGGCAGGGTACAGAAGTCGCCTAGCCAGCGACAAGGCCAAGACCAGCAACAGCAGCAGACGACAAAGTCGGGAGACCCGGCGGCGAACACGGATCTGCAGATCAAGGGTGACCGGCGGTATCTCGTGCAAAAAATGGAAGGCGGCACCGTCTGCGACCTGACGGGCCGCGACCGGACGATCGAGGTGCAGTATCACTGTGTGCCGGGCATGAAGGGGGACCGCATCGGTTGGATTAAAGAGGTCACTACATGTGCCTACCTCATGGTCGTCAACACGCCGCGCCTGTGTGACGACGTCGCCTTCCTCCCGCCTAGGGCTACGAGCGCGAACCCAATTAGCTGCCAGCTCATCCTCCCCTCCGACGACCCCGGCGCGCAGGCTGAGTGGCATCGTCGGAAGACATTGGAGGCCGAAGAGTCCATGGTTGGCAAACAGGAAGGCGCCCCCGCGACGGACGAGGAGGAGGCGGAAGAACTCCTGAAGCAGGCCCAGCAAGACCCCAACGTGCGAGACAAGGCTCAAAAAGGCGTCAACGTGGGTGGTGTCATTGTTGGTGCGCGTAACGTGCTCGGCGATGCCGATGAGGAGGGTAAGCCACCGACAAAGCTCTCACCCCCGCGCAGCTACCTGCCAGGACGCGGCCACGGCCCGCTGGTTGAGATCATTGCCAGCGCCAAGAGCAAAGCCGAGGGCGGCGGGACAGAGATCCTGGACGATGATGAGCTCAAGAAGCTGGATCTGAGCCCTGAGCTTGTCGAGGAGATGCGGGCTGAGCTGGAGCGTATCGCTGGCGACAAGGGTTGGAAACTCGAGGTTGTGGAGCAGCCGGGCGCGCAGAGAGAGATCCAGGGCATCGTTGACCACGGCTCTGAGGGTGAGGACGGCGAGGAGCTGGCCAAGGGGAAGAGAAAGAAGAAGGTCGTTGAGGGGGAGAAGAAGACGCAGCAAAATGGTCAGAAGCAGGACAAGCAGGATCAACAGCAGGAGGGCAGCGAAGAGCAGTTCTTCAAGGAGGAGCTGTAGTGACGTCCCCCTGATTCGATGGCCCGGCATTGGCGTTTGGAATGTTTATTTGTATTGCTATGCTGAATGATACGGAGGACCACACGTTTGCTCACATGCTCTCAAGAGTCTCTTCAATTACACACGTCTGTCTCTAGGAACCACTACTCGCCTCTGTGATTACACGAAAGCGTCAGAAGACTGAAGGAATTCTTCCAGAGTCTCTTCCTCATTCGGTCTTCGGGCTGTTCGGTTTTCAGGCTGTCGGTTTTCAGACGCTGTTCGGTTCTCAGATTCGGTTCTCGTATTGATCGGTTCTCAAACTATTCGGAAACTATACTGATGAAGTAATTAACCAATCTGTTTCCTCGGGCAGCAATCGGACTTGTCGGAAACTATACCGTCAGTGGCGTCAGTGGCGTCAATTTGCAACATGATAACACCGCGGGTTCAATGCGAGATGATAGTCATTTAGTGGGCGTCAAGTGGGAATCACTGGTAAGGCAGGCGGATGTTGACTTCTCTTGATCTACTGGGCACGTCGGACTTGGAAGCAACTTGTTGTTACACCCGGACTCGGTATCCCGTTCAACACAACGGGATCCCGAAAGGGCAATGTTTTGGACCACTTCTTGGTTGGTTAGACTCGCACTGGGTCCACAATAGCTGGAATGTTATGATCTTCAGGGTCATGGTGTCGAGGATGTTGGCAACTTCACTCCGTCTAATTCATATGGAGCAGCCTCGTGTAAGACGATACCAGCATTGATTACTGAAGACCGAGGAATGTAACGGTCAAGTGAATTTTGTTGAACTGTTGAATATACTCTTCCACGATCAACCGCACAGGCGCAAATGAACGAGCCATACCGTCGGTGCCATGGAATTCGAAATCCGCTCGGTCCTCCATGCGGAGACGAACGTTCGTGTCTCGTCTCGCGGGACGCCGAGACTTCTGCCCACGACAGTGCTTGGCCTTCTAGATAATCTTATTACCAATTTACCACTAGTCACCCCGCGGCTTCCATGGTTGCCCGCGGTAAGGCGTGATTGCATTCCCACCGGACTACCACCGTGACCGGATTGGAGTTGTTTATTCGGAAAGTCACGTCCGGGACCTGCCAGGTTTTCTGGAGAAGAGCATAGCAAAGCTCCTGCCTTGACAACCTCAGTTGACATGGAAGGTGGCCTGGCAGGAAGACGGGAGGTGGTAACAGAAGGTGCCCCTTTCCCAGGAAGGCACCATCCGATGGACATGGACTGGACATCCCACTTGCCGGGTCGGAGGGCGGCACCGACATCACGTCCTTCCGAGACGTGGGAGGAAGGCATCCCCGCCGTGACTTGCCCTTTGCTCTTGTGTACCTTACCGTAGAGGCAGGAACGGATACACGTGCTCAGACTCAGAGTGTCAGTGAGGCAGGCACCGGTAGCCGGACATCAATTCGTCTCCTGCCGACCTCGTAAACGTTGACAAATAGCAACATGGGAGTTGAGGCAGAATGTCTGCGATCTGCACATCTCTGACTTTTTCCCTCTTCATCCCCAATCTCGGCCCAAATTTCAGTCATGATCCATCGTCATGTCTGGCCCGCCCCCCTCGTAAACTCCCTCACGCTGGCTCAGAATCTCTCAGCCCTCTTCCCCGGTATCCGGGACTGGCTCCGGGAAAAGCTGCCATTCGAACTTCCGATCCAACCCTGATGGAGAGTTTTTTTCTCTCTTTGTTTTGATGAGGCAGAATCCGGAGGAGGCGGAGTTACATGGTAAGTGGTTGGAACACGTATGCCCACTTGACGCCTTGAGCCCTTCATCATCTACCTGCCTGGGCAGTTCAGGCTGTGAAGCTATTTGTCGCAGATTAGACTTCTATCCATCATATCGCCAGTGCCATGAGTACGAGCCTACGGGGAGACCTGTGCAAGCTAGCAACGTCAAAAGCCCACACTGCATACGACATGTCGTTTTCGCCTTGGCCTCTTTGCCAGTCGCATTGCCTGCCGCCCCGTGCACTACCGCTTGGCAGCCACTAAGTTCTTGATCCTTGGCGGGCAAGCAGTGCTTAGCGTCTTCGAGTTTCTCTCTATCAATCGCACCTACGGAGCAGAGCCTAGACGCGATACGACCCAACAACATAACTCAACTCGGAGAGAGACAGTCTTCAGACTTTGAGGAGTCGACCCTGAAGTCTTGGCTTCGACTTCTGGTGTCTAGTCTATTTCCAGGGCCCAGCCAAGATTTCACGTCTTAAGCTTCTCCAGGATCTTGAAATGAGTTTGAGATTGATAATTCAAGGGCATAACCGTTCTGCCGGGACAGGTTCTTCGGCATCGTCGGTTCAGGGGCACGCCGCACACACACGCATTGCACAAGCACAACCACCCTCTCGGAGTCACCTACCGGCCATGATTGCAACATCAACTCAAAGTCGGCACTTGCAAGGCTCAGCAAAATGGGATCGGCACTTTTCCCCTGCGCCTGTCGTGTACCTCGAAGTTTCACTAAACCACCCGACTGCCGATTCGCCATCGTTTTTGGTTGCTGGCTACGGGCTGCTGAGTCCTCGTCAACTGAGTTGAATCGTTGATCCGGCTGAATATTGTCACAGCCCGGTACTCCGATCTATACCATCCTACCGTCTCGGACATGGACTTCTATCCGTCGTCCGAAGCAATGCTCAGGTTTATCATTGTACTTCTCAACACAAGTTCGAGATATAAGTTCTTGGCAGGGATGGCTTGCCATTGTCATATGCTTTCGGGACTCGCCATTTGTATAAGCCACGGACTCGTCGTCCGAAGGTCGGGCTGTTCAATTGACAATTGTTCAACCGACAAATTTATCCACTCGACCCAAGGCCCTGGCACGCCCCTCGAAATGCAACCTCTTGGTTAGGAAGGATATTGCAGACAAGGTGAATGTGGATGTGAGTGGAGGACACATTGGGCGGCAGCGCCCGTTGACAAAGTTTATGCTCCGATTGAGCTAGTCTAGGCGATATTACCAGCTGGAAGAAGAGATTTCCGGCTGCCCATCGTTCATGACAACCTCGACTGGGCAGCAGCTCAGAGAGTTCCAGCCAAGTGGGTAGGACGACAAAGCGTCAATCCTACATCCTGTCCCTTGCAACTTGCAAGCAGAAACATCACGCCCTCGTTCCGGGTGGGCTCGGGAGCACAACGACAACCCCCTTTGACGGCGTACGTATGTCGGCGTTTTCGGCCGGCTGCCTATCTCGACCTCCTCGACTAAGAATACGCGGGCCAGTAAACGAAGCCGCATGCCGGTTCCTCATGTTGGGTTTTGACCATCACCTTAGGTCAAGACCGTTCAGGAGATTCCTCCCGAGTCCGGTATCCACTATTGTTCGCTCAACTTTCTCGGCGCCGCTGGAGGAGAAACGCCAAGGCCATCGCCGAGTCCATCATCGACACCACTGATCTTCTCGGCCTTGCTGGGAGCACGTAACAGCGGCCAGTACTATACTTGTCGACAGAATCATCAAGTCAATGCTTTGCCTCGCAGGGCGGATGAGGTCCGCGCGCGCCGCTCTCTACAACGCTCCCGGTCAACCGCAGCTAACCGTGAACCCGTTATCGATATTGCTCTTACAGCACCCATCAATCGGGGACTCCGGGACTCGATATTGGTTTCGAAATAGACCCCAACTTCTTTGCAACGCTATGATACCAAACTTTTGACACCACTGTCGTCCAAGACTGATTGACATTCGAGCTGGGCGATCCCTGCCATGTCTTTACAGTTCGATGAGCCACCTCCGCATCATGTCAGGGGCCGTTGATATGGATGCCGCCGGCATCAGAGCAATTTCCCTGAATCGGATCGTTCTGGAATGTTCAGGACCCCAGAAACCCCTCATTTGAGCACGTACAAGGTTTTGACAGCTGCAAACCAACAGGCATTGAGTCGTAATAGACGGGGATAGATCGACGACCCTATATCGTCTACAAACCGCCTCAACCGCGCAAATTGCATCAGTCGCTGTACACGCAAGGTATACAGTGATGATCAGGAAGCCTGGGAAGTTCCGCATTCGACTCGAGGACTCGACATCTGATGCAACGCGAACGCGCGCTTTTGGTTGCGGACCCCGAGGCTCTCTATCGATGGCCACGTACATTCCAACGAAGCGGCATGATGCGGCAACCCCAGACCAGACCATAACAAAGTCCCAGACATGCAGACGTATCTGGACCATGAAGTGATTCAAAGGTCTCGGGGACTGGTTCCCGGAACGAGGTCGAAACGTGGCATGGCAAGCAGAGTTTGGGCACCCGAGGAAAGAATTAAGCATCTTGGATCTCTGGAGCTCGAGTCAAGCTTGAGTCCCTGACGCTGGAGTCAACGCAGACTGAGCCCACGACGCGGTTGCCCCGGGGCTCCCTGGCTGGCGGTCACGAACAAAGCTCGCACATGTGGTCCATAACGGCGGGGATGGTGCCTGCGGTTAGCTCCGCTCGGCGGTACTCAGTGGAGGATTTTGATGGAGCTTGGCATGAGCGGGCGGATGCCGGGCACGTCTCCAGGAGCCAGACAAATGGCTCCGTTCGCAGAGGGGCCGGAATAGCGCCGCAAATCATCTTGATCCAAAATAGCTGCAGGTCCCTGGCAAACTTGGGACTGAAGAAAGCTCAGCTGAAGCCCCAAACGAGAGAAGGGCTACCAAGGGGGCAACACGGACTCGAACGTCTAGGACGACTTATTTGTTCCCTCGTTTCTTCTGGCCATTTGCCTTATTTTGAGCCGTTGCCGTTCCGTTGTGCAGCTCATCCGAAGTTGATTGGTCTTGAACCCTTTTCCCCCGCACATCTCCAAGGTCATCCCTCGATTTGGTCCATGGTCATCGTCAGATCGATCTTTCTTCTCAACTTCTTTTCATCATCAGCTGACTCACAAGACGACCACCTCACACGACCTTTACCTCAGCTCTACTGCTATTACTGCTACTTACCTACACAGTATACCTCATACCTCTCAGTACGGATACAGAAACGGCAGCAACCCTCCTTTTGCTCGTGGCCGCCCCTCATCCTTTCCCCCCCCTTCTCTCTCCGCTTCTCATTCGCCTCGAACTGTCGTTTCTTTTTTCCCCGCATTTGCACAGGCAAGCCGCAAGCTGCACGCCGCACCGCACGCCGCACCGCACGCCGTACGCGCAACGGAAGACGAGACAGGAAGACAGACAGACACTGGACGTCCAGACGAGACGAGACAAGACTGGACAGAAACTGGACAGGACAGGACAAGACCGACAGCCGATCCCGACGGTCATCGAGCAGACATCGGACACGGAGTGAGAAGCTGAGAGCAGCAACCAACAAACCTTCATGCGCTAGCGACAACCAACAAGACAACCCCCCGACGCCATCCACCAGCCAGCTACCGACACCTCGACTGATGAGGCGAGGACTGACGAGAGACGCTACTTACGCTACGCTATCCGTACATACATACCTACCTTCCTCCGTACCCTACGTACTTCACCTCACAGCCAGGCCACACCTTACCGACCCTACCTTACCTTAGCTTCCTTCCCCTTCCCCTTCCCTTGCCGGTGAGGGGCTGAGGCGGCTGAGGCGGCCGAGAGTGGACTGGAACTGGCTTTTTGACCGGGGGGAGGCTGGGCTGCAGCACTGTCCGAGTCGAGGCTTGTTGCTCCACGACAGGTCTGCTTCTGCACTGCACTGCTTTTCTGCTGGACTGCGACTAATCATCACTCCACCGCGAAATCTCTCGCTCAAACTCTTTAACGGCCGTCACCCCTGTGACAAGAGTCCTGAGCCTGTCTCTGCCTTCTCCCTTCTCTCGACTGTTCCCTTATTCTTATTGCGTCATGTTTTGAGTGATGGACGACACAGATACCGCGAGAAATGCTGCGAGCAGAGCGAGCTCTGCAGAAGTGAAGGCCGAGTCACCAGGCGCGACCACCACCGCCGCCACTACCAAGAGCCAGCAGCACCACCACCAACAACAGTCAGCGCCGCCAAAGAGGACTGTATGCGATCACTGTCGAAGGAGAAGTATGCTGTTCCACTTCTCTCACGTTATTATTATCGTCGTATCTCAATTTGCATCCTCCTGCCGGCCCTCGCATTCATGAACTTTCGTGCGATTCTCCCTCTTCCCAGCAGTCTGCCGCCCGGACAGTCCATCTGTCGGCTTCATGGTACCATCCCGCCTTAGCTACTGCTGCCGCTGCTGCTGACGTTGCTTTGCTGCACGTCATCACCATCTTCATATTCATCACCGAGAACTGTTCATTTCATGTCCGCAACTCACGTCTCTTGCCACGTCTTTCATTCTTCTCGTTTCTCATACGATGGAGCTTATGAAAACTAACTCGCTGTAGGAATCCGTTGCGATGGCAAGTTCCCTTGTGAGCAATGCGTGCACGCTTCACTCACCTGCAAGCGCGAACATGTCCCCAAGAAGAGAGGACCGAAGCGTGGCCATGGACGGGTCATAAATGAGTTGCGCGCCAGGGAGTCGTCCCAAGGAAAGCAGCATTCAAAAGTCCAGAAACCTTTCAATGCAGAAACTGCGCTCGAGAGTCCTACAGAGTATGTGCGGCGTCGATTATCAGCAGCATGCCCGCCGCTGAACCTAGACAGCGTCGACATTGGGATGAGCGGTAGCGACCTTGGCGAAGCGACATCTCAACATTCGTCCAACGCGTCCGCAGCATCGACCCCGCCGAGCTTTTGGGCCGCCGTCACCTCGAACCCAGGACACAGCAACGTACCGGAGCCCAGAGGCATCTTTTCGAGCGATGAACTACGACCGAGAACGAGGAGCTATTTCCACATGATCCCCCAGCTGGTCGAGCTATACTACGAGCACATTTACCCCATCATGCCCCTCGTCTACATGCCGACCGTCCGCGAAACGATCAACCGACCCATGACGCCGAGCGAGAAGAACCTGATCTACGCCCTGTGCGCCTTAACGTCGATGCACATGTCTGGTAAAAGCATCGGTGCTCCTGGACCTACGTCTTGGGAAGTTGTCGGTCGCTTCTTCCTAGACGAAACCATTTCAACGAGGCAGACGTACGACTTCCTCGAGGATTTGTCCCTGTCCGCCGTGATTTCGTCCTTTTACCTGAGCACATCCTTCTTTGAGATCAACCAATCGCGCAAATCGTGGTACTACCTCCGGGAGGCGTTGACCAACGCACAGGATCTAGGACTCCAGGACGATTCAACATACTACGGGCTGAGTCGCGAGGAAACGCTATGCCGGCAGAGGGTTTTCTGGATTCTCTTCGTAACAGAAAGGTTCGTAACAAGCGGCCGCTGGGCGATTCAAACGTGAACGTGGCTGCCACATCCGAGATACTAACGCATCCTGTGCTACATAGGTCTTTTGCGATTCTCCGCAATAAGCCGATTACGTTCAAGAGAACACCATCGCTACCAACAACACGGCATCCCTACGAAGGCCCTGATATTCATGCCGGTTTTCTGCAGCTCGTTTCATCGTACACCCCTCTGGACGAATCGTTCGTGACGGCTTGGAATGAGGGGTCTGATCCCCGCGTCAGCGCAACAACGTTTTTGGCTCTGCAAAACCTTCTCTCCCTCCCTCCCGCGTTCCTCCGCCCACATGGGCGCTCATCACCACCAACCCAGCCTCATGGACAGCTGATGGGTTCTTTTGGTTCAACGTCAGCCTCGCGAGATGCCGGGGCGCCAGAGCCGACAGACATTCAGAAAGCCGACTTGCTTATCACACAACAATGGCTTCGACTAATTGTGTGGCAGTCGTCGATGAGACAAGGTCTTTTAAGTTGGACTAACCCGGCCGACTCGGGAGGTGGGGTGTCATCGGGCAGCGGTGTCGGTGGTGGGAACAGCATGTGTTTCTCGTTCCCTCTGACGGTCGCACGTGACACAGCCTCGATTCTGTCAAGCTTGCCCAGCAAAGCTGTCGAGGTTCACGGGATGGGTATCATGGAGAAGATTTTCGAAATCGGAACATGGTGCGTTAATGTCCTGGGGGCATGCGAAAGTGTTGGCTTCTCGACGGCGATGGACTTTACGTCAGGCGATATGGGTGTCCTGGGCAGTGGTCGAAAGGGGGCGAGTCTGGATCCGATCGAGTTCTTTGTGCGTACGCTGAGTGCGAGCGATAACTCCCGGAAACAGTTTGCTGAGAAGCTGCTCACCGCTGCCGGCGAGAACCCAGGAAGTATGCGAACACAACTCAGCCCCGCCATGTCTGGCATGAGTTCAGCCGCCGCGGCGATGATTGCCGCGGGTCAGGCGCACCACATGATGGAGCAAGGCTGGGGACAAGTCGGACAACAAAGAGGGAGCGTTGTGGGTGAAGTGTTCGACGACAACGAGGAGAACAATAACAACAACCATCAGCAGCAACAGCAACAACAACAAAGGCTAGACCTCGGCGGTAACTCTATGCACCATCCTTCTACTATACCAAGTATGGGATTGGGAATCGACCTCGGATCCGACCGCTTGACGGGAGGGATGGGTGGAGTCGACATGGACGCGAGCAGTGTCGACCTCATGAGCCCGCTAGGCCTGACTCGAAGCAACACCTCCGATATGGCAGCGATGGGCATGCCCGTATATGATACAGCCTGGAGTCCTAGTAGCGGCGGGACGGGGCCGCGAGAATACCCAGAGCATAATCCTGGACCGTATTCAAATCAACGTGAAGGGGGTCAAGGCTACCCCGATATGGGCAACGGCATGTTGATGCATGACCGGATGGCTACCGGTACTGGCGGTCCCGTCGGGGGTCCCGTCGGTGGGGAGAATCCTGGCACGGACCCGCGGCAGCAGCAGCAACATCAACAGCAACAACATCAACAGCAACAACATCAAGGGGATAATGGCGGTTATGACGGACGGAGACCGGAGGACAAGAACGGTGGATACCCAAATGGCGGCAGAGTAGGTCTGTGGTTAGGGACATGATAAGCCTGTTGCCACGTTGTTCAATGTTTGACGTTGGACGGACAGGTAGATGTTCAAGGCCAGAGTTGGCCGGATGTACTCATACTTCAACACTATTGGATAGGAAAAGGAAGTAGGACTGGACGGGCGTGAATTGGAGCATTTGCACAATCGGAACTAGGGATTTACGTCGGCCAAGGTTTATCGGGCAATGCAGGTTATCAAAGCTAGCTACCGTTTGCACGCTGGATGGCGTGTCGTAGCTGACCTGGGTGTCTAGTGACCATTTGGCGGGGTTCGGACTCGGCGGCATTCTACGCGTACATGTATATACCTCTGGAGGCGACACTGGATGAAAAGTCTCCCCAATATAACTCTGTAATCATCCTCTGGCGTCTTGACTCACTCATTGACCCGTTGACCTGCGTGTGCCTCTCCGGGCAGTCCCACAACCCGCTGTCCAAAGAAGGATGCCTCCGCGAGTGTGGAGAAGTGCCGGCCGTCGTGGCCCCGGATGTTCGGCAGCAGATTGGAGGGGGCTGCGGCAACCTGCGAGCGGGCAAAGGTACAAAGCTCGGGCTCGGTTGCAGGACTTGCAGGACACTTGCAGCAGTGTTACGGCGTAGTCTCCTGACTCTTGACTCTTGTTCTTCTTCTCGAAGGATGCGAAACCTTGTCAAGATCTCCCAAGCATGAATACGGATAGTCTGTAGATAAGCTTTACGCTCGTCACGAGGGCAATAATTGCCGATCTGACCCTAGTTGCACAGTTGCACAGTTTCGGAGGGCTTTGCTTTTTTGGGGGGAGGAGAGGACCAGGAAATGCTTCTTACAACTTACATAGTAGCGTCCTCCCACCCCGTGCCCTACCTGTGCGCATGCAGCCATCATCGAAAGCTTGGCACGTCAATTTCCCTATGGGATAATAAGATTGTCCACATTTCAAGTTACAAGGTGCCAGAGACGAGGTGGGGAGGGGTATATTTGATTTTAATTTTGATGATGACGGCGTCGGCGGCGGCAGGTATCCTAGCCTCGCTCTCGCTTCAGCATAATGTCTGCATCGCGACGGCGCGGTTACGGCTGCGGCCCGTGGAGGCGGGTGATTTACATGCGATTCATCGGATGAGGTTGGATGTTGAGGTTATGCGGTACATGTATGTGCTATTACATACATCCTTTTCTTCAATTGTATCCCCCCTCCAATTTCATCTCATCCCACTGTATCCCAAGATTTAGACTTTCGGGTCATTACTGTTGCTTCTATATTGCTTCTAGATCGTTTGATCTGGTCTGGAATGATCTGATCTGATCTGATCTAATATTAATGCAATTAATCGTATAGGCCTGGCGTCGAAACTGTGATTGTGGCGGAGGAGAGTCGACGGAGTATCGAGAGGGTGCGACTCATGATGAAGGAGGGCGGGTTCTCATTTGCCGTGACAAGGAATTGCACGATAGAGGAACGAATTGACAGCAACGACAACGATAGCGAGTGCGATATTGACAGGAATGACGAGGTGGTCAAGGCAAAAGTGATTGGGTTCATCGGCATCACGAGCCCGCCGCAGATATTCTACATTTTCCAACGAGAATCTTGGGGAAGGGGTTACGCCACGGAGGTGTTGCGGGCGTTTTTAGGGGCATACTGGGCTGGCAGAAAGATCTCCGGCGGTGGTGCCAACGGGCCCGACGGCAGACGGAGTCCGTCGTCATCGCCGGAGAAGGAGGCCCAGAGAGTATGGCATGGAGAGGAAGAACTTGGGGATGTATTGGAGGCGCATGTCCATGATGGAAACGTGGGCAGTGAAATGGTGCTACGAAGGTGCGGGTTTGAGTTTGCGTGGGAGACGGTCACGTCTGCGCATGGACGGGATGATGTTAGGTGTATGGTGTATCGAATTGAGCGACCGAGGGGATGAGAATCTGTCGAGTGGTTCGTGTAAGCCGTGGTCACGTAAGGAGGTCACTAGAGTGAATGAAGGTCATGATCAAATGTGTGGGAAGTAGGACGAGAGCGTCTCTAGGGCTCTCTCACTCTCATTCTGTCTTTTGTATCTCTATGTTTTTGTCGTGTCCAGGCGTCATTTATGCCTAGTAAACTTTTCCTCCTGACATCTAATACCGAAAACCCATCGTCTATTCCGAAAACGCCGGCCACCAATGCCTCAAGATGTATGTGTGTATCCCAGGTATACGAATCCCCGTATTTCCCCGTCGTAGACAGTTGTATGAGGGTATCAAAAGATATGTAGTGCTGCTGTAAACAAGCTCATGATCTGCCTCCCCAGAAAAAAGGATCTAAGAATCTAGAAACGTCCACCACGTCTTCCACCGCCGCGGCCACCACCGCGGCCACCACCTCCACCTCCACCACCGCCGGAGCCACCGGGGCGGCCCTCACCACCACCGCCACCGCCTCCGCGGTGTCCGTGCCGGCTCTTGGGCGCGTCGGGAATGACAACCAGACCTCTGGTTCCGCGGAGACCCATCTTGCCGATAGTGCTCTTCTGGATCGCGGGCGTCTCAGGGCAAGCGAGCGCATCACGGGCAAAAGTGTTGCCCTCGGCGACGAGCTGGTCCTTGTCCCACTTGAGCGGCTTCATCCAGTTCTTGTAGTAACCAAGCCAAGCCTGATAAATCTTTGCCTTCTGCGCCTCATCAATGCGCTGCTCCGCAATCTCGTACACTGCCTCAGCAGACGAAAGGTCGGCAGGGCGGGTTTGGAAGGTGATCTCCTTGAGGGTCCACTGCGGGAAGAAGCCCTCGACCTCGGCAACGATAAAGATGCCGCGACCCTCTGCACCTGCGCGAGCGGTACGGCCCAGACGGTGGATGTAGGACTCCTTGTCGGCGGGAATGCCGACCTGGAAGACGGAGGTGACGCCGGGGAAATCCATGCCACGGGCAATAACGTCCGTGGCGACGAGTATACCAGACTTGGAGTCACGGTAGTCGTTTGTCGTCTTTGTACGCTTGCTCTGGGAGATGCGGGAGTGTAGGACGGCGGTGGGGGGCATGCCGGGCACGTTGGTGAGAACGTCGCCATAGAAGTCGGCAAGCGCAGCCGTCGGGGCGAAGATGATGGCCTTGAAAGTATCCGGGCCAACATGGGCTGCCTCCTCGCTGATGGCACCGACCATGGCGGGGGCAACAGCGGCGAAGGTGGGCACTTTGATGAGGTGCTGGGGCACGCGCTCGTGGGTGTTTGCCTCGCCGGCCGGAATGGTGGAAATGAACTTGTAGCCCTGGGAGAGGACGAGGCCGGCGACCTGCTCGACGTGGGAGGCGATAGTGGCAGAGAAGAGCATGCCCTGGCGGTTGGTCTTTGTCTTGTCGGGAAGGGCACGGACAATGTCCTTGAGAGCGGGCATGAAGCCCATGTCGAGGAGGCGATCGGCTTCGTCGAGGACGAGGGTGTCGAGGTGGCGGAAGGCATCCTTGATGTACTCGTTCGACATGTGATCGATCAGACGGCCGGGGGTGGCGATGAGGATATCGCAGCCGTTGAGGATCTGCTTCTCCTCGCGGTCCTTGTTCGTGCCTCCGATGGCGATGCATACGCGATATTGCTTCAAACGCTGGAGGAGAGCCTCGGCCTCCTTGGCAATCTGCATGGCGAGCTCGCGGGTAGGGGAGATGACGAGTAGAGAGATGCCGGCGCCGCGACCGCGGTTGTTCGTGATGAGGGTCTGGATGGCGGGGAGGAGGAAGGCAATCGTCTTGCCCGTACCTGTCTTCGCCTGTACGAGGCAATCGCCACGCTTGGGAGGGAGGAGCTCGCCTAGGGTAGCGGCCTGGACGGGCATCATGTGGTCAAACTTGAGGTCTTGAGTGATGGCCTGGACTAGAGACTGGTCAACGCCAACCATATCGGCGAATCTCGGTGTGTCCTGGGGAACGGGCTCGGTGAGAGGCGGCGCCGTCGACTGGGCGGCTGCTGTTGCTGATGCTACCGGCGCCGGGGCGGGCTGGCCCAATCTAGGGGACTCGTTGTACGGCGCATCGCGGCGGTCACGTCTAGGACCGCGCTTCTGGTTGGAGCCTCTGCCTCTGCGATCCATGATGTCGAAATATGGAGATTGCTCTGGTTTCTGTCCTCAAACGGCGAAGATTCTAAAATGCCGTGGTGAAGAGTGAGTGATGTCAAAAGGGAAAATTTCCTGGAACAAACAGGGACCTGACGAAACTACTCTCACCTAAGCCTAGCGTATCTTCGATAAGGAATTGCAGAAAGAGCGATAAGAATCTAGGGGTCCTGCGCATTCTGTTCACACCGCTCGACCCACCTGCCGCTCTGCCCCTCTCCCGCTTAAATGGGCCTGCTGATGGGGTACGTCCTGACATTTTCAACATCTTCAACGGTCAACCAGGATGATATTTAAGAAAGATATTGTTTTACATCGATCAATCCAGCCTCGCATGAATCCTGTTTGGGTACAGCTATTAACATTAATTAACTAATGAGCTACCAGAATCCAACGCCAGAGCTTCAAACAAAAGCCCACCAAAGCCGTCTTTCACCTGCCCTTTTTCAACCCTATTTCGCCACGATTCAAGAGTGCACCTAGTTGAAGCCCCGACGAACTCAAGCAAAACAAAGGCATGAACGCCCAATTAAAGAATATCTCCCGAAATGTCTGGGTATAAAATTACTGAACTGATAGATGCCCGAGAGCCATGTGATTTGGGAACAAGAGGAACCTTACAACTGCTCTCGATAAGCCAAGTCCGTGTCCCTTGAGTGCAGGGGTTCAAAGGGAATGATGGAAACATAAGAGAAAAGACCACACTTTAAAGAGGCTCAACTCGGATTAAAATAATGACGATATACATAAGGGGCTTCCCCGCGAGGATGCGTTGAATTCTGGTCATGACCAGACTCTGTAGGTAACCCCCACGGCACTGCAGTCATAGGTGGTTGTTGCTGGGGGTAATTTTCGGACCTCAAAGGCACGGGTACCGTTCCGTGCCGGGGGGGAGGTAAGCGAAGCGGAAGTACTTGACCTTGGGTCGAGTGGGTATCGTAGTGTGAAGTCGACAACTCCTGAGGGTCCAGGGAGAGCGGAGAGGCTTCTTGAACCCTGCAATCTCTGTGAAATGAATGTTCTCTCTCTTGCGTCGGCTCACGACTCAACGGTCCTGCGGGCATGCTCCCGCTGATGGAGCTGGGGCTGGTCACCATCGTACGAGCGGGCTCTAACATGGTCTGCTGGCGATCGATATCGTCGCATAGACTCCCCAGGAACATCTTGTAAACATCTCCGTCGGCCGGTTCGGTATCGATGAGGTCACTGTATGCAGTTTTTGTCAGTACTATCAACTTCCAGTAAGTAAGGCCGGACGAGAAAATTACTTACGGGCATCCGTAGTTGGTCATGTCATCATCAAGATGCCTGAGCCTCTCGTATCCCTCTTTGTCGGTCCCAAATCGCACGAACTGGATAGTAATTGGGCGAATTGTTCCAATGTCTTCCTGGGCCTGACTGTGAAGGTTGTTGCGGACCGGAAGATCTTTGTGAAGGTCTCGCAAAAGTTGGAACACGGCCCTGAGATGTTCATCCAGTGTATTTCGTATGTTCATGCCGCTCCAAACACCATCAGTCAGAACAATTATAGTCTTCTTCTTGGGGTGTCGCTTAGAAAGCATCGCTTTTGTGTAGTCGTTGATGATTCGTGCTAGTTCCGGGACAATCATTGTCTTTTTGTCGTCCGACGATGGCTTGGCTAGCTTCATCGCTTCTGAAAATGTGCTGACATCTTGTTTCCTTGACTCTTTGATGAATGCTGCAGGAGGAGTGTCTGGATCGGTGAAGCAAAGTTCCATTCCGTTTTCATCATAGCCCAGAGACCGCCAAACCAGCCCTTCCAAGATAAACTTTGCATGTTTCCAGTGCGGTTTCATGGAGGTGCCGTTATCAACAAGGTAGACCTAAGGATTGTCAATCTCATATCACATCTTAGTGCAACAAGTAGACAAGTGACCGAGTCTACTTACGATGTCCCTCTTTCGAAACTCCGTCTCCAGTCGTTCATCAAGATGTTCGGTCAGGCTATCCGTTTTCCACGCTGCCTTACCTCTGACGGAAACCCGTTTCTTTTTCCCTAAAAAGCTAGTGAGACGTCGCCCATGGCCATGCTCTTCGAGAACTTCCATCACTTCCCACATTGTTACAGCAGTCCGGGGAGGTGGTACTTGAACTATGGTATTTCCTAGTGGCGATTGTATTCGCGAGTGATGACCTCCGAAGCGCTCCGACGCGTAATCTTGATTGTAACGGTAATCGGAATATTTCTGCGTTGAAGTGGCCTGGTCAGAAGGCATAACCAGGGCCAAAGTTGGTGGGTTCGGCGAGTTGCCTCTGGCTGGTCTATGAGCTGTTGGCCGAATGCCTTGGTCGAGAAGTTCTTTCTGGCTCTTGAAGTCAGGTTCCGTTGAAACTTGAGCGTTCCTCGATGCCGGCCGATTTGGTACGATAATTGTGTCATGTCGCTTGATTCCAGAGTGTTGTTCGTACTCGAGCTCTATTTGGAGCTCAATGGCTTGAAGGAGGTTTTCAATTCTGTTTGGAACCTCCTCAATTGCAATTGGAGACCGTTCCAATCGTCCTTTGAACCAATCCCGCACTTGACTGGCCGTGAATCTTTTATCAGGGGCTGCGACCAACATGTTTTGATCGACCATGTTTAGTACATCAGCCGTGTACATGTCTGTCTTTCGTGCCACTGCTCGAAGGTATTCGTGCCACTCTATTACTTCAGAAAGAACGGCGCCGTTGTTGTGGAAGGTGTCGCTTGTCTCCCCGGTCTTCTCGAGTAGGCCAGCTCTTCGAACTCTGTCATAGATCAAAACCCCTTGGGGTCCTAATACGACATAGGTTGCTGCGATAGAAAACACACAGCCAAGTGACCAGACATCACTTGTTTGCGTGACAGAAGGCTCTTGCGCACTTTTCCCATCCAGATATGCAGCCTTTTCTGGGGCACCTACGGCAGAAATGTGAGTAAGGAATATCCATGGCCGCCACACCTATTAGTAGTACTGACCATAGGTTCTTGTGCCTCCGGTCACTCTGGCCACTTGTCGACGATTATCTGCATTAGACAATTGAATGTAGGCCTCTCCAGGGTCCGCCAACTTGAATCTGTTGTCAACTCGAAGTATGTTTTCAGGTTTGATATCTGCATGCCAACTATCATAAGTGTCAGCATGATACCACAGTTCCAAAACTGTTCCAGGAATCTTAAGTGGACTCACGTGTTGTAGACCACGCCACCAAACTGGAGCTTATAGATAGACGCGAGCGCCTCGGAAATGCCAAACATTGCCTGCCAGAAACTCAAGATCTCCTTTGGAGACACAGGAGGTTCCAACTTGCGAATAGCAGTGTATAGATCAGAATCTCCGAGCTCCAGAACGATGTTATGGTACTCTCGCCGTTTCCCTTCGCCGTCGGTCTCAAGTCCCTGGTACCACCCAAGGTATTGGACCATTCCGTCTTTGTCCCTGAGATGTTGAAACATGTTGGCCTCGTTTCGGAAATGACTAATTTTCTCGAACTCGAACTGTTTTAGGGCAAATCTATATCGCTGTTTATTGTGATGTCAGATCCTTGAATAAATGCCACTATATGAACACCGTCGCCAACTCAGGCAGCAGGACTCAACTTACGTATCCTTGGGAAGGATCCCCTTGGCGCTTGAACCTTGCTGACGCCATCTTTCGTTGTAACGTTGGGCCAACCATCTCTTCGGGAACCTCGATCGAATATAATGACGCAGTGTTCTTGCGTGGTCCACGACCGTCTCGATGAGGCTTGATCTCAGTTTTCTCCAGAACGGGCATGATTCTGTCGAAGTACTTCTCTCTCATACCAAGTTCGAACTGCACTGGGCACCAGGCTAATTGAGCCTTGAAGAAAATATCGAAATATGTTTCGAAATCTCGCGCTCGTATCTTAGTTTTCAGCGTTGCCATATCGATCGGCAATTTGTTGTCGCTGAGACCATTTTCGCGAAACACGTCGATTTTCGATGGAGCACCGATTTCAATCAGTATATAGAAAATACAGCGATAACCCTTCAGAGCTTCCAGTTGCATCGTTGGCGGTTGCATGGAATTATGACGCAGCCAATGAGTCTGGCATAGCCTGTCGAGATCGTTCTTGAACCTGCGATGGCATGTCTGTGACCTATTCTCGAGTCGACGGGTAACATTTTCAACAATGATGAATTCTCCACCGCATTTCGAGACCCTACTCTCTTCAGCGCGAATGGTCTTGAACTCATTGAAGGCGGTATTGAACTCGGCACTGTAGTCGAATTGCGTGGCGTTGCTCATGGTGTGAGACATCGTTTCTGCCGCCTGGCCAGGGCAGATCAAGTAGGGGGGTTGTCTCTGGCACACGTATAACAATATGTGGTAACTATCGCACAGATAAATTCAATGCGATCTTGAAGACGTTGGTGGGGGTTTCTGGTGATTGCTTCGTTGGGCCCGAGTACGGAGTTGATGTTGGAAGCGAAGACGAGCGGGGAGGCCGCAGGCTAAAGCAGCGCAAGCAGGCAAGCAGACAGGCGGGACAAGTGCGAGGACACTGGATGAAATGGAGCGGGCGAGGAGGAAACCAACAGAAGAGCGAGCCAATAAACAATATTGGGAGGAGCTGTAGTTCCCTACTACAGGTGATGGGCTTCGCCCAACCCCCAGAAAGTGCGGCTGATGGGCGGCTGACCTGCATCAAGAACGGGGGGTCGCTGATTCTCTTCCAACAATTTACGTCTATTACTTCAAGGAATGGTTCGAACAACGACAAGCCGTCTTTATATCGAGGAACTCATGGCGACTCTTGGGGGAACGTAAACTACCTGCCTAAGAACCTTCGCTTTTTGGCTTGTCAGTCGAAACTGTCGGATTGGAAGTCCAATTCGGCCGCGAGTAGGGGCAGAGCATGGGCCACCTTGAGGGGGTACACTTAGACCTCGACTACCCACCCAACCTCCGGTTAGAATCTCCCTTCTACTCCTTACGCAGAATCAATCAATACAGAGATATTGATACTTCGTCACCCCCAGGACCCTACGGTTCGAACCAACTTCCCTGTGATAGGGATACCAACAGAAACGTAGCAAAATCTATGTTGATAAGGAAAACCCACCAGGACGAATCTCATCTTGCTCGATCTTTTCCCTGGCAATCGTGACATACCTACTTGTGACATGTCCATGCAAGAAGTGAGGGGTAAGCCCTTGCTTTTCTACGAAGGGGTGCGACCATCCATAACCTGGCCGGTAATATGGCTTCAAGAGGGGGGGCGAGTGTCTTACGTTGTTTATGACAAGGCTCTGGCACGACTAAACTACCTTGGATTGAATGAACCAGATCAGAAGTGGCACACACTGCTGGGAGCCCTCTCCGATTTACCCACCGCGTAAAACTAAAGCACCCCACGCAATATTCATACCGGAGACAGAGGTACAAACCTGCGACCTGAGATGCCTGGGTTCTATCAATCGAACACCCAGGCCATCATATATGCTATGGGTTTGCGCGTTTACACACTGTAAACGAGGCCATTGGACGCATTCTCCATGTCCTTGGGGTATGACGGTATGATCAGCTCCCAAAACTAAACAATAACATATTGCTCGTCGAACAGCACCTGTAAAGCCTTGGTTCGACTACTTTACCTACTCAACCACTCAATGATACCATTAGTCAGCGAACAAATGTCGCCTACCTGACAAGGGCAGCCTACTTTATGCTTGTTCGCGCACCGTGCCTTTCAGACGCCTTGCTGAGCCATCAGACCTCGCTGCCTACGAGGCATCCCGCCACGTTTCCATTTAAGTATCACCGAGTCCTCGGGAGTTTACCCTGCAGTTTCTACAGGGCTTTCATCACGGTCTCACTTGTTCTGAGAGAAAGCCTCGGGGGCCAGTCACCCTTCGCCTCCTCGAAGATCGCAACACAGATAGCAAAATTTCCCTGCGCCCTCATTCACACCAACATCGCTTCTCATCCACTGCTTGGAGACTACCTGTTAAAGTAACTTATCTGAAATTCGAAGAGGCTGAATATGTTTCCAGCCTTGAACAAAAAGTTCACCTCAACCTGGAGCCCATCGCGGACAAATACCAACGATGCAAACACCCAACAAGGCAGCGCAACTTCGGCAAACTCCCAGAAGCTCCAAAGATCTCAAACAATGCCGAAACCTCCCAGCGACTGGGTCACAGAGCATGTTAGCTCATACAACTTGAGATGGGATAGACTGCAAGAGTGGCTACTCAAGCACTTCGAGAACGACAATGTCAGCGCCATGGGTAGAGGCTTCAGTGAGAAACAGGTTCGTCTATTACAGTACAAAAAAAACCTGGAGATCTTCTAACCTGAGATGTAGCATCTCAATGACACCTACTTTTTCTATGCACCGCGTCGCCTCACAAAGGTTCGTCGAGTAATAGTCCCTGGTAGCACGCCATGAGGGCAAGCTTCATCGCATGGCATTCTAACCTCAAGTAGCAAGACAAGGACGCCATTGATAAAATTAGAGACAGGAATCCAGATGATATCACGAGGCAGGAGCAGCGGGAGATACACACTCCAGATCCCGAAGAACAGATAACAGATGAAGATTAATGGGACTCGAATGAATAGGTCAACTTAGTATAAACTTTTAGAGAAATCTCGGTTTTGTAGCGTGGCAAAAGTGAAAGTCGTGATTCTTCTTGAACAGCCCTATCTATAATTGTCACCGTTGCCGCTTTTTCATAGTCTCCACGTGTAAAGGCCGGCGTAAGATACCGGCGACCTTCCTCACCAGCCCCTCATCGCCCACCTCAGATAATGGTGCTTAACATTGAGGGGGGGGCTGGTTCTGGAGTTTTATTGGCCATTTGAGACTTTCACTCAAACTGCATGTGAATTCCGCCGCAAAGTCATTTGACCAAGTTTTACTTACCGAGAATAATCGGGCGTGGCGTTTTACCTGCTTAGCTGACCGGAGCCTGCCTCTGTGGAACGACTTGGCAAAGGACGCAGTCCATACACCTTGTCTCAATTGATGTGATAGGCGACAGCGAACGATGCCTTGCAGAAAGCCCAGGGGGGCTGACGCTGCTAGGCTTTTGCCGCCTGAATTCGTTTTCTCGATGTCTTCAATTCATGTTGTCATTTCGGCCTAAATCAGACATCCTAAAAACTCGTCATCTACCGCGCCTTTGATGGTTCAGGGGCACACATGTTTGTCAAAACTCCTTTTGATACTTTTTAATCTGGGAAAGCAATCTATCGAATTAGTCGACCTGCATCCACCATGCCGACTCCAACTCAGCTACCTCCTGAATTCGAAAGATCATATCTTGCATCAGACAGCTACCCGCTCAACCATGTGTCAGCTAGCTCTTATGGACAATCTAGCCTGTCAGACCAAAGAAAGAGGCTCAAGAACAGAGATCAAAGCCTCTTCGTCAGCAATGAAAAGGCCAAGATTCCAGTTCGTGACATAACTCTAGCTGGAAAAGTCAGCAAAGAAAACGTACTGAGCGATGATCACCTGAAAGAGTTTCTTAGCGATCTTAATGTGGTCAATTCAGACCCACAGAGACACACTGAGTCTTCCAGAGTCTTGGCATTTCAGATGGATGTAAAATGCCGATTTGTGTAAGCCTTCCGCATATTGGCTACAAAATTTAAGACTAATCCACTGATGCTCAGATTCCTCGTTGCGGAGAACGCTCTAGCACCTCTGGAGGCGCAATCCACGATGCTGAAGCGTCTCCTGACATTTTACCAAGTCATGCCGCAATTCCTGGACTTTCTCTACGTCTATGGATCCCCACACGGTGAAGACAAAAACCTTCGCTTCAGTGGTTTTAGGACAGAAAAGGCTCTCATAAATCCCGTCCCGGGGACATGTATTCCAGACATGGGCCGAAGCGGAAGGAGATTCCAGATTTGTTACAACTTGAAGACAGTAGGGCTCAAGTCTGAGCAACCTGGAAAACAGGTTGACAAGGTCTGGAAAATCAGGCAAGCAGCTGTTCATCATCAGTTTGACGTCGGATCCGGGGTCCAGAACTGGATATTCGGGGATCCGCATGCAGTGGTCAAAGGCCGTATCCAGGAGCTTTTCCATGAGAGTCGGGAACACTCTTCCAAGTTCGGAACGGTGGAGCAGTCACTGTTGTCATCTCTAGAGATACATCTTGCTCTGGCGAGGTGGGCAACATCAGAATGGAGATGGAATGTGCAGTCACTCGAAGAAATCATTGACAATCTGGTGAGCTTGTGCCAACAACATCCAAATTGCGAATTAAGTTTAATCAGAGCATCCCAGACACTCGATATCATTGCCATACAAAAGTCTAACTTGGATACCCTTGATTCTGAGTCCCTGGGGAGAGTCCAAGAGTGGGAAGACAAAACCAATGAAACCATCATGGTAATGGGATCGAATGCCGACATCCTAACTCTTTTGAGGAAGTTCTACAAGGAGCTTATTGAAGATCAGAATTTCCCGAGTTGTGAACTCCGAGCTTGTAAGCAAGCTGTCAACGACTTCGCATTTCAACTCGACGAGATCATATATGATACTCAAATGCAAATCTCCAGAGCCAAAGTCTTGGTGAAAATTGTGGCAGATAGAAAGACAATTGTATGTTCAAGACGCACATGGCACCCCATATGTTTTCACTGACTAATGTCTTGCCTTCTTAGCTCATTCAACACCTGCAGGCACAGACTGCTCTGGCTGCGTCGAAGCTCACAGCAAGTATGTACGACCAAGCCGATCGCAGTGCAATGGAAGCGATTGCCATGCGTATCGTCACAGTAGTCACTTTGTTCTACCTTCCAGCAACCTTCTCCAGTGTAAGAAATCAAGAATCTCCAAGTTGCAAACCTCTGGCGATGCTGACAAACACTTTAGACCTTTTTCAGCACAGACGTTGTGAAGTATCAAGATGGAGTCAAGTTTTCTGGAGTTGCCTTTGAAAGATTCCTCCAAGTCACCATCCCATTAATGGTCGTCACTTTCCTCTTTGCAGGAGGTTGGTTCTGGTGGGAATGGCAAAAAAGAACACGGAGCTCCATGGCGACCAGAGATGCGAACCCGGACATTTTCCCACTGAATGAGATTGTGTCAGGAAAAGTACGGTTATAGTTAGTCGATTTTCCCATGGCAAAAAGCCCATTTATTCTTGCTGTCCGTCTCTGTTTCTTTCGAGGTTAAATCATCTTGTCAAATTAGGCCATATTCCATAGCGAGGCAAACAACCGCACCGTGAAGAATAATTACTTAGTATTTTGCATTCCATCCTAAGACAGGATATGCAAAACTCTAGACAGTTTTGGCTATGTTAAGACCATGGAACAACTGCACGGCTTTGCAAGTACATGTATCCATCAAAAAAAAAAATAGTCAAAGGTCTGTGTACTTGGGCAAATCGCTGTCTCCATCTCAATTCCCGACAAACGTTGAGACTTCCTGTCACTCAATTTGATGACTACATTCTCATCTGATCAAACGATCTCTGTTATTGTAGATCCCTATCACCCTCTCCCACCGGATCTCTCTCATCTGCAATTGTATTTCGGCCTCGGGGTCGTTTGATCTCGGAGGATTTGTGCAAACAAGACTCCATACCGCTTGATCTTGGTGGTGGAGAAGTTGTTGCGGGAGACTATGCCGCTCTGTGTTATGGAACCGATGGTTTGCCTCAGGGCGCAAATCTACACACACCAATGCAGGACCATCACCGGTCGTAACCTCGACGAGCAACATTCCGCTAGACACCAATGTAGCCAAAGTGGGCTGTACGTCGATCGAGAAACTGTCCCCATCGCCGATAAATGTGAAAGCACTGTTGAAAGGCCCGCGACTCCTCAGTGGCGTCCGCACTTCCGATGACAACAGGAACACGAGTATTTCCTGAGCATCTAGACCAGTCACACTTACAATCTCACTCACGCTTCGGCAAGTAACCCTCCCGAGAAGAAAGTCACGTCAAGGCCATTCCCTAACACGAATGCTCTTCGAGACCAGCACGATAAACCCGGCAATGATCCAAGAGAACATTGTCAGGTTAAATGGATCGACGCCTGCAATACCCTCGCCGACGAGAAACCCAGACAGCAGCCCACCAAAAACCAAAAATGAGCAGCCAGCCATAATTGAAAGACTGTAGCGCAAACATCTGATCGTGATGGCAGATTCCTCTATCGCCCACCCTTGTGAAATGGCCGTGTGGGAACAAACGGCAATCGCTAGGTATACACGGAGCCGAGCTATATCAAGTGTCTTCGGCACGTGACACACCTCAGCTCCCTCCTTCCATATCACGAGCCTTCGCGTTTAGATACTCTCCTTAACAACAATAACAACAACAAGAACACCAGATTAACCCAACGATATTGCTACCGATCGCGATACCAGGAATACCTGTGTGACTAACCTGTGGTACACGCAAACCAACAGGCCGCTTTGCTTCCTCGGTAGGCTGATATAACATGGTTGGACGACTCAGTTACATGCGCAGGAATCGATGACCAGGGCTGGAACGTCCTCCGATGTGGAAGAGGGTCGGGGCTTAGCCTTTTCTCTTCAAAGAAGAAGGACTGAGACAGAGATCTGCCTTGATATCGATTCGAAGAAGGGAAGACTTCTCCAAACTCTCTGACGTGTCGCAAACTGACCTTAGCAGAGTAGCCACGTGCTGCCCTTTGGATCTTCGCTACCCTACCAAGCTCACCGACTGCAACACATGCCTGGAAGACAAAGTCTGACATGATTGGATCCATGCATGAAAGAGGAACCATGATTCTGACGAGTTCGTTCATGGATGAGATTGAATAGTCGACGTTGCTTTTGTTTGAGAAAGCCGGCACCGCAATTCTGAGTCGAGGTCCAGTATTTGCAGTCGAGGGATGCCGTTCACTTTCAACATTGCCAGTGGTACAAGGCTCAGTGATGGACGCCGTAGTCTTCAGAAGCACACTCAAAGCAGCTTGACTCATGCTTACTGCCACATGACTCGAGGAGCCTGTGATTTGAGCCTGTCTGTCTTGATATATGATGGCGGAAGCACCTCCTGCCTCGGTGGAATAAACCACGGCTGAAATATCGAAATCGTCCAATCGGTGGCCACTAGCATTTCGAGTCCGTAAGTCGGTCAATATACGCCAGAAGAGCTGGAATAGTAGTGCCGATACCTCTGACATGTTAGATTTGTATCTATCGGTCTGCAATTGTAAGACTTCTGGCCTGATCGTTGCATGCAAAGCAGGAAGAGCTGTTATCTCAACTTGGTCGAAATCGGGGTCAGACACAGAGTCGATGGAAGACACAGATACGCTGCGTGACCTGCTCCTGGATCTGGTTCTGTATGTATGGCGTCCCCTGCCGTCTCGAGGGTCCAGGGGATTCCGCAAGTTATTCGTGTCACGTAGAGCCGCTACTATATATCCCGGCAAGTTGTGACCCAAGACCTTCATCTTAGCCGACATCTTCGCAAGTAAAGTCAGCGTGATGGCATGCCAGGATGACCCAATTCTGGAGATCGATGTTTCGCCTGGCGCAAGGGACACAATTCGAGCCACTATGACCGTAATGCAGTCGATTAGAGCATAAAATGCTGGAAGCTCAGAATCCAAGACATCAAGTTCTGTTCTAGCTCTCATAGTGGCAGCGTTTTCCAGGGTTGGCTTGCATGCTTTGTGTTTTTGGATCGAATCAGACCAGCTTCCAGGATGATCTTGTCTTGAAAGATCCTCTAGAAGCCTTTAGCTATGCGAGACGATGGCGATGTCTTGGCTTGTACCCTCGATTCTCTGAGATCTCTCAAGCTTGGAAAGGGCGTTCTGATCGTGGAGACCATAAATGGCAAGGATGCAAAGAAGCCGGTCAGCCAAATACTCAAGCTGGGCGAAGCCAAAGCCCGTTATCTCTTCAGGTATCATTGGAGTAGAAGTAGCCTCCAAGAAACCCTCGTTGTTTTCTAAACCATGGGGAAGTCGATTAGCTTCCATGTCCCATAGCTTTTCCTCGATATCGTCGTCGATGTTGCAGCTGGAGAGACTACCAAGTCTCAGTGAGCGTCTGGCTTTGCTGTTTCGGCTGTACTGTGTGTTGGAGGCTAGATCGCTCTGGTCATCGCGCGGAATCCGAAGTAGTCTCATCTTTTCCATGAGCGCGTTTTTTTGTGACGTGATATCGTCATCACGAGACCAATCCATATCGCCTTCAAGTTCTATACCAGACTGCGGGCCTTTACTAAGGTCCCCATACTTTGCTTCGTCTTTGGGCCTGGTGATCGATGTAGAGCCGGACATGTTTGTAGGCTTAGATTTGGACGGTGGAATTGTGACGGTTAGGATCAGGGGGGCATTTGTTTGAATAACTATGGGTATGTGCAATTTGCAGGGCCGATTGTCAGCTGACATGAGAAATCAGGCGAACCAGTGACAAGTGCAGCAAGCCCCTCACCTGCTCGACTTTGTCCACCTCAGCATGCAGAGTCCCGATCAGATATCAACTTAAGATGTCTAACTCATACGAGCATTACGAGGCAAGGTCGTCTGTTGACGGAATAAAGTTTTGCGACACCTCCATCCTTCATCGCTCATGGCCCACGAGTATGCGATTACCCATCCACGTCCAATTCTCAACAGTCAGAAGCTTTCGTAGAAAAGCACAATGAACTCTGCAGCAACTTCCTCATACTTTGAGAAATTCCAAGACGCATTGAAGCAGTCACATCACGGCCCAGTGCCCAAAACCAACCCTTCTTCTAAACCTGCTTCTAGACCTGCGTCAAGAACGTTTACATATTCTTCTCTTTCTAGGCGCCCAAACGACGATTGGAGGTACGTTGACCAGGTCCGCGTGAAATAACGACAAAATCTTAGGCCTGGAGACTTGAGCTGACTCGATGAGGGTAGTGACACTGATCAGGGCGGAGACTAGAGAAGAACGCTCATCTGGAAGGGGAGAGCGACTCTCGGACTATCACTTCCTTGGAAGCAGTGTTGGAATTCACCAAATCTACTTTCGCAAGAGCAGAGGAAGCTCAGGATCAGATACGGGCGACTGGAGTGGCTTCATTCGACTACCTGTGGACAATATTTGAGCCTGGGCAGATCATTTACGAAAAGCGGCGTGTAACAGATAATAGCTGGCTTTACGAGCAATTTCTCAAGGTCAAGAACCTTGAGTTTGAGTACAGTGAGTTGAACAAGGCTGTCGGGATCTCCTTGTTGGTTGAGAAGATTGTTCATCAGCAAGCACCACAAGCCGGCACTTATCTTGTTACGAGCCAACGACAAATCAGATACTTCACTGATTTGAAACCGTTAACATCAGAGACAATTGGATTCACTCCGCTAGATATGATACAAGAGCCTGAGCGAGGGATCCTGCGGGCCAAGTTTATCGACCTCGGCCGTCGTTACTTGCATCTCAGCTCTCAACCCTTCACAGTGTGAGAGTATGAGGGTCCAATTTCCATAGGTGTCCGTTATAGAAACGACATAATCGAGGAAAAAAGACCATGGAATTTCTTGCAGGTAAGTTTTAGACTTTTCTTGTTTCAGCGTCCCATTCGAAGACAGGTGTGTACTGCTGGAATTCTCACCAGACATCTGGCTTCAATTTTGAGAAACTAACAGTGCCTCTAGAGGAAGGCGAAGGAAAGAGTTGTTGGTATACACGTCAGCAGGGGCCTGTGGGCCGGTACGAAGCTCAATAATCTTGGTATCGAACTGCGTATATCTGTGTAAGGAGGAAGTTGGTGGGCGTAGCCCACGATTCCTCCGTTGGGTGTAAGTAGGTGGAAGGGCCGTTTGCAACGGCCCAGACCACCTTCCAAATCCACCCTTTTCTGCCGTCAATATTCCAACAGTTGTGGTTGCCGATCGCACGCTAGGTTTCATCTCGGATCATGAGACTTCGAGCCGACACCCAGATGTACTACTACCTCTTGATGATGGCCAAGCTAACGGCAAGCAAAGCGACCCTTCGGAAAATGATGAACTCTATCTTATTTGTCGAAATCGCATTTCTGCATATCTTCTCAGTTCGGATATCGAAGCCAGCGTCATCATCTCTCATCTGCAGGATATTCATTGGACACCAGTTCGCTTGTTCCCCCGCTTCGTCGATATTGGCTTATTTCGTTCTTTGATACAGGAGCATACCTTCTTGGACGAGAAGAGAGCGCTTCCAAGATTATGCCGTGGCGTACGGGCTGCGGGCTTGGTACTATTGTTTCATGGGCCACAGAGCACAACTCGGAAAATTGCGACTAGTCAGTGCTTTACTCCAGACCTTCACTCTCACATCAACAACCGCTAATCTGCCTGAAAGATATTGCGGAGTACCTTCAAAAAGCTATCTTCCGAGTCCAGCTTACACCGAACTTCCGAGATTTTCATTTCAAGACATTGTGTGCTTCACTGTGGGGAACAATCATTTTGCTTGAAAGAGCAGACTCTCTGCGGTTGAACGATGACACCCTGGGTTACTTCCAGGGCTATTTCTTACGTTACCCAGGTGTCATCTTCCTGACGACAGAGAACATCAAAAATGTGGACAGCACCTTGCTTGGGGCAGTTGATTTAGTCACCAACTGCGAGGATGGGTGGGTTCAAGGCGACGATGACATGGAAGAGAGCAAGACCCAAAGGTTATGGAGGCAGCACTTATCTGACGAGCTCCCTGGTTCATTTAGTGAGTCTGGAAATCGTCTCCGGGACTTCTGCCACATTCTCGCGGACTTCGAAACCCAAGATGCTCGTATGTCCAAAATTCTACGAATGGCAGCTCGGCTAGCTGAGACACAGGGCGAGGTCGTCGGCGAGAGGCATGTATTTCGAATCATTCGGCAATCTCTTGCCCTCAGAGATCTCGGGAGCTTCGACGAAAGAACTCGCCAGCTAGCTCAGGCCACTGCTTAGCAGACTTCTTGGAGAAATAAACGAAGTTCTCGATTGGGCCAGATTGGTTTCGGGACTGGAAGCAATTTCTTGGGACTGGAATGAGTAAGCGATTTCGATGCCAGGTTTTAGACTACGCCCATATCTCAACCTCTTGTTTATGATCTCTCCAACATGTCACATTTAGTTCTGTATTTGGGACCGCAAAGGTTCTTCCAGTCGTTGGATTCAAGCTATCTCATCAATGCTACGCCGATGGGCTTTTCATCAACACAAATGCCTCCCGAGTCCCGAGACCTTCTCTCTATAAAACAGGCAAAATCAAACAAGCAAACCGCAGATGCCAACAACGTCCTTCCCTTATGCCTTGAAGAAGTCGGTGACAGCCTTGGTGAACTGATCAGGGTCCTGCATGGGCGCAAAGTGGCTGACACCAGTAAGGATAGTAACCTGGCTGCCGGGGATGGCCTTGTTCAGGATACCGGGAACATCGCGGTTGACAGCCTCCTCGTGCTCGGCGCCGGCAATCATGACCTTGGCACCAGCAATGCCCTTGAGCTGCGCGTCGGTGAACTGGGGCAGGGTGCCCTCCATCGTGGCAACCTTTGTCGCGAAGTCGGTGAAGTTGGCTCCGGGCTGGATGGTGCCGTACTCGGTTCTGCAGCGGGCAACCAGAGTAGAAAAGATGGCCGTGTCGCTGAAGGTCGCGTTGGTCTGGTCAGGCTTGGCCGAGGCGCCGAAAATGAAGGCCTTGTTAATGGGCTTGGCCGTGACGGAGTTGATCAGCGCCGCGAGGGTGGTGATACTGCCATCAGACCATCCAACGACGTTGTACGACGACACGCCGGCGCCCTCGAGGAGGTCGTGGATGTCGAGCGCCATCTGGTCGTACGTGAAGACGTCGTCCTTGTTGTACGTCGTGCGGCCGTGACCGCGGCGGTCGACGGCGATGACGTAGTGGCCCGCGGACACGAGGCGGGAGATGACGGAGCCAAAGTAGGCAGAGTAGCCGAGGCCGCCGTGGTCCATGACGATGGGGACGCCGCCGGCCGCCTTGTTGTACTCCTGGAACCACATCTGGATGCCGTTGATGGCGGTCTTGGCCGTGGAGATGGGGGTGGGGAGGTCCGGGGTTGCGGGGAGGGTCTGCCAGATGGGGGTCTGGCGGACAGCGAGGCCGGAGACGGAGCCGGCGACGGCGACGGCGGCCATGAGGGCGTTGTTGAAGTGCATCTTGGCGGGTTGTTTCTTGGTTTTGAGTGGAAACTACAAAGAAAGAATATGGTGACTGGTTGAAGAAAAAAAGAATGTGTGGGACAAACAAGTGAGAGACTGAGTGAGAGACGATGCAATTTGGGAAATCCAAAAGCGAAGCGATTGATGAGGGTGGAGGAGAAAAAAAGAAGAATTCTAGAACTTGTCGGAGAACAATCGTGTAAATAAATACACGATTGTCATTTGACTTCCTTCATCTCCCCTAGCTCATCGTCTTTTCGTTCCCCGCTCGGCGAACCGAAGGGCTGGAATTGAGTTAATTGCAATTCATCCAGTCGTGGCGGAGCAAGAACCTGAAAATAGGAGGCGTGGTGCCAGGATCACGACTCACGCAAGTTCGCAAACCCCGGCTTAGAGTTTTTCGCACTTTTCGCCCTCTCCGTAGCCCGCGCCCACAATCGGTGGCCTTTTCGGCCGGCCGTGCCGGGGGAGAGCCTCATCAAGACATCTAAACTCGGGGGGCCGCGCGCGGCAAGCGAAAACGAAGAAAGCCTAGAAGTACATAGTATTAGTATGATCTGTATCGTGGGATGACCAGGCGTGCTAGTCGGCTAAGCGGCAGCTCTCAAATGAAGTCGGACGACTCCGTAAAAGGTGACAAAATGCCACTATTTCGTTCGCAGACTCACAAAGGCAAATGGGGGCCATGCAGCTTGTTAACCCCCCCCCCCGCGAAGAAGTTCGGACAGAACGGACTGTTCCAGCCGTAGGGCTCCTCGCACACATACACAACACTCGGGAGGACCCGACTGGTTCATCACTTTAACACATGGGATGGCAGGGGTATCCTGCACAGATCACGTCTGGAGTTGATGGGGGCCCATGGCTATACCGCAATGCGTTGTTCCAGTCAGCTCACTCAGACTCTCACGAGCCTCAATGTTGTATTCTTCCAAGCCTTACTGGGCCTCGAGACTCAAGCCGCGAGCCGATACAACCGTCTCTTGCTCAGCCAAGCCCGGACTTTGTCGATACTCAGCATCGGACTTTGATCACTATAATAGTCGCAGCCATTCTGGAACCCGAGACCGAAGCGTAAAGTCCTCAACTAATGGATTTTGACCATTACTTCTCAAACATACTCTAAAGCCCGCACCGTGGCAGAACTGTAGAAGCTTTTATAGTATAGCAAGATATAACAAAAAAGTGATGCAACAAACTAGCAACTCCTTACTGATGAATCCCTTGCGTCGGGCCATGCTCCACAACCTTCCCCTTGTCCAGACGGATAAAGTAATTGGCGTCCTGAACGGCCTCGAGCCGATGAGCAATCGTGATGACAGTGCTCGTAGTCAACTCGTTCCTCAGAACCTCCTGCACTCTAGCAGCCGTCTCCTTGTCAATCGACGCGGTAGCCTCATCCAACACCACAATAGGGCTCCTTCGGAGGACGGCCCGGCCGATCCCAATGAGCTGCCTCTGTCCCTGGCTCAGGTTCTTCCCGCCGCCCTCGACGTGGGAGTACAGGTCCCAGCCGGGGCCCAAGACCCGATGGAGGACGACCACGCACTCGGTGTCGGTGTACTGGTGCAGCGGATCGAGGTTGTCTCTCAGCGTTCCCGGGAAGAGCACGGGATCTTGTGCTACGAAACTGACGCGCTGCCGCCATACGTGAACGTCCACGTCCGATAGCTTGTAGTTCCCGACGCGGATGGCGCCTTCGGAAGGGTGGATAGTCGCGAGGAGGGCGAGAGCTAGGGTGGACTTACCAGACCCCGTCCTACCGAGCACCGCGCAAGTGGAACCCCCGGGGATGGTGAAGGAGGCTTCCGAGATGGAGGGGTCCAGGTGAGGCGCGTACCTTAAAGTAACGTTGTCGAAGATGACGTCGTCCGAGTGGTGAGGCCAGCTGATGGGGGGCGTCAGTTCGCCGCAAGGCTCCTCGGGGATGTCCAGGAGCTCAATCACACGCTCGACCGAAACAAAGTCCATCTGCAAGGTACCGTACTGCTTGCAGAGGTTATGCGTCGCCTCGACAAATGCAGACGCGGTTGTCAGGACGAAAGCGGTCAAACCGGGCGAGAGACCCTTGTACAGCGCGAGAAGAGTGAGCGCAAATGTGCAGAAGGCAGAGAGGGCGTCGAATCTGTACATGAGCCAGGCCTGGAGACTCCAGTAGAAGTGATCCATCTTCTGGAAGGCATCCGTGACGACAATATTCATGTTTTGGAAGTGATGTTGAGCTTTGAAGGCGCGGATGGTTGCGAGTCCATCGAGTAGGATACCAAAGTTGGACATGAGAGGGCTGAGGGAGACCATTTCCAGTCTTCGGAGGCTCTGGGAGGTAGGCAGGAACCGCATGAAGATGTAGACGAACCAGAGCGTCATGCCAACCGAGAAGAGCAGAAAGAGCGGGGTGACTGAGGCGATGACGATCATGCTGGAGAACCAGGTGATGGACTGCACGGCAACTTCGCGCAGGGGTCTCATGATGCCTCCGTCGATCATGCCAATGTCGGAGACAAGGCGGTTCATCAAGCGTCCTACCGGAGTAACGTCGTAGAAGCGGAAAGTTGCTCGGCCGACTTTGTTGATGACTCTCTTGAAGAGATCTCTTGCCGCGGTGATGATCATGAGCAATGTGAGTCCTTCCGACAGCGTGTAGATCACAGCCTGTGCAACGGCGATCCCGAGATAAACCCACAACCAGGGCCTCAGATCGGTGTCTGGGTCCGGAAGTCCAGCAAAAAGCTTGGAAAAGTCGATACCGTCGGACGCTCCCTTCGTCGATGTCTCGTGCTTGTATGCCTCACCCCACGCCTTGAGGAACCAGTAGTTGAGAAGACTGCCCAGTCTAAACAATGCAAACACCAAGACTAACACAGCCCACCACTTGAGCTTACCAGCCTTGATGTACGTCCAGTAAACCGACAGCATGACGCCGCCATGAGCACGGTGCTCTTCTTCGATGAACTTGGATGGTATGGCGGCGTCTTGCTGGCTTTCGTCGAGGGTGTGCTCGTGCTCGTCCTGGTGAGCCGCCGGATCCTCGTCTTCCAGGAGGAACTTGGCGACTTCTGCCGATGCTTCTTCAGAGTTCAAAACGCGAGCGGTGCCGTCGACAACTTCGACCATCTGGCCAGCGAGATGAAGACACAAGTCCACTCTATGAGTGACGAGCACCACGGTCCGGCCTTCTACCAGCGGACCCTGGAGGACCTTCTTCACGATGGATTCAGCTGTGTTGTGGTCTAGAGCAGCGAGAGGGTCGTCCAGCAAGAGCACGCGAGACTGACTGTACACGGCGCGTGCCAAAGCGACACGCGCTCTTTGTCCACCTGACAGACCGATTCCATTTTCGCCCATGTCCGACAGGTCTCCATGCTTGAAGGTAGCCAGGTCGGGAAGTAGGGCACACGCATCGAGAGTCTGGGTATACCTCACAGAATCAAAGGGTGCTGAGAAGAGGATGTTATCGCGGATGCTCATGTGTTGAAGCCAGGGGCTTTGAGCACAATATCCGATGGGCTCTGTTGGAATAATAACGTCGCCTGTTTGCCGGTCAAGTTCTCCAAGGATTGCTTGGAGCAATGCAGTCTTGCCGGAACCGACTTTGCCAAAGATGACCGTGAGACCCTGCGGGAAGCTGATGTCCAGGTTTCTGAGCACCGGTTGCTCATATCCAGGCCATGAGAACGTAGCCTTTGTGAATTTGATATCGTTTGTGAGATGGTCGGAAAACACGCCGTCCTTGTCAGGTTCGCCCATGAACTCCTCGATACGGCCCATGGCGATAGATGCGTTCAGGACAACAGTGATAAGTCCCGGCAGTTCCTTGAAGCTGGTCTCCAGCAAAGTGAAGAGAGACAGAGCGGGAAAGGCCACATCAACGGATAGAGTCTTTCCGGCAATAAATGTGTAGGCGAAGAAAGTCGCCACCGGGAAAAGCGTGCCAGAGGTGATGTTGAGTGTGGAAATCGCGATGCTCCATAGGCCGGTGATGACCCTGGTCCTGAGCTCGCGTCTCCGTGTGACCATGATAGCGTCTAACCACTTTGACTGCCAGTCGTACCATCGTAAGTGCCTGATTCCTTCCACGAACTGCGACGTCGACTGCAACCGAGCATCAGTAGCAGCCCTTCGTACGCGCTCCTTTTTAAGAAGCTGGGTGATGAAGATGGTGTTGAGCATCTGGGCAAGCACGACGCAAAACATGCCAAACATGCACGACCAGCCGAGAAGCTGCCAGACGAGGAAGAAGGAGAAGATGAACTGGAGCGGTTTCACGACCAGGGCCGGGAACTCCCAGAAGCGCTGGGCAACCTCGTAGACGTCATTCCTCATCAGATTGAGAATCTTTCCAGTGGTGGCGGGCTGCCTGGATGGTTTTTGATCTTGCACCCGGCGGTACTTTTGATTCGTTGATCGCCCGCGTTTGAACCAACCGAATAGCTTCCCGAAACGGCTGGTAGGCTCGCTGCCACTGTCGTTGTCATCGGTAGCAACTTCTGTCTCTTCGTCATCGTCGTCGCTCTCGTCATTTCCATCTTCCTGGGATCCATCTATCATCTTCTCGGCAGCTGGCTGGCCAAAGCGCTTCCGCGACAGAGTCTTGGCGTAAAGTGTCGTAATCATCTCTCCGCGAGACCGCTCATAGCAGCGCCTCGAGAACCAGAGTTGGAACACGGCAGCCTGGCAGGCAATAAGACGAACGGCCAAGATGCCAATGGAGTAGAGGATAGACACCTCAATATTCTTGGACCCGCTCTGGATGGCCCGCAAGAGCTGCTGTAGTAACATCGGGACGGAGAGTGCAGCGGCGCATTCAACGATACCGAGGAGCGTCTGGATGATCAAGTCCAGGCCGTTTGCTAGGAATAGCTTGGGGGTCATGGGCCCGCGAAGCTCGTGAAACAGTCCGTGGAGGCGCTCATGCTGGAATTCGAATGGCAGTTGCCATACGTCCTCGTTGTGCAGCTGCTTCTCGTAGCCTTTTGAAATCATGGGCGCCATCCATGACACGGTCATAAATCTCCAAAGAGAGAGGTTGTCTTCGGGACTGCGGAGCTGGTCGGTGGGTTCGGTGCGCGCAATGTCAAAGTCACCGAGTGACGGGTCCCGTATCGGCATCGCTACAATACCAATGATGCCAACCAGGCTGATGATCGGGTCCGCGAGGACGAGAGTGTGGACTATTTTGTGAAGTCTGTAACTGAACGCCGTCGAGACAATTCCGCAAGCCAATATTGTAAGGTAGAGAAACAACAGCGTCTTGGGCGTCTTAGTAGGCCGGTCCACGGCGGTGATTAGAGCGGCGATGAACCAGGGGACCAAGTCCAGCAAGTCAAAAAGGCGGCGATGCGCGAGAGTAGATGACACGCCCTGGACCAGCCCGGCCAGAGCAACCGCGAATAGGTAGACTGTCCAGAATGTCCAGGGCTTCTTTAGAGATGGATGTACTGCAACCCCGTAGGAAGACTCCTGGGCAAAGCCAGAGCACCAGGCGGGTCTCCTGCGAAGAAGCGGTCTCAGGACAACGAGGCACAGCAGCGATGCCGCGACCGAGGCGCGGATGATGTTGGTGATTTCCATGACTCTAGAAGCATTGAAAAGTTCGGCCGTAGTCAGGATCGTCGTCGTCGTCGTCGTCGTCGTCGTCGCGTTCTCAGCTTGAAACTGTGCGTGGGATGGAGAGTGAAGGTGAGACGGGCCAGCAAGGACATCTTGGAAGGCGACAAAGCTATAGAACGGCAAACCTTTTGACGGCAGCTCGCCGCCGCCGTCCAGGTCTACGAAGCTACTCATCTTTCTGAAAAAAGTTTGGCAGCGATTGCTGCCGCTTGAGACGTGTGGAACCCGGAGCGTGGTTGCGATACCATCAAGCTCCCAAACCGCGGGGCGGGGTGAAGGTTGTGTCTTGGGTTGGACAGCGGGGGAAGGCAGATAACGGAGTGAGGTTGGAAAATCGGGTACCAGTACCGGATCTCACCGCTCCAAAGGTTCTCACAGTTTCAATTCGTCAATTGGTCAATGTAACGAAGCGTCAATTGGTTTAATGTAACGAAGGATCGGACGCAAAAGTGGTAGCCTTGTCAATCTTATTCCCGAAATCATGCCTGCACCTGACTGCTCACGTGTCATCTTCGGATAAGCGCTGCATTGTGTCGCAAAATTGGGGGGAAACCCATCGGCCGCATTCAGATGTTTGATAACCAAGATTGGGCGGTAGATGCGATGTGCTAGGCAGGACGATGAAGCATGTTCGCGAACAAGTCCTTCAAGGTCTGTTTCTGGACAAAGGGGTAAGTAAACGGCGAATCGGAGGGCCTTGGCGGCAGCAGTTCCCGCTGTCCCCGCTGGCACCGTCTGCCATCTGGGGCAGTACGGGATGCATCACGTGACCTGATACTATGTGCACCTTGATGTGTGTTACCTAAGGTACCTTGCCTTAGGTAAGCTAGTCAACTCCATGCAGACAGATGATTCGGATGACATAATGCATCCGTCGATTTGGCAAAGGGTGGGGCCGACTTTTGCTTCCGAACGGGACTCGGTATCCTAAACCGGCCTCTGGCCACGAAATTGATCCGGCTCGCCACCCGTCACTAATTCCCGGGCCCCCGACCCGTCTAGGCGGTGCAATCTGAGACGAATGTCGGTTCGTCCCAGCGTGCATCCCATACGAGACGGCCCCACAATGCGAACACGAACCCGATCATCCATGCATTGACAACTACAACCACAACCACACACACCTATTGTCAATCTCGACCACCCCTACTCCCCGCCAAAACCACCATCGATCTGCATTGCTAAACATCGCGGCAACTAGGCATATCCTACGCGAGTGCTACCGTCCACCAATCCATCAATGTGGGGCCTTGACACCGCCGTCTCTAATCAGAGGAGCAAGAATTGCGCTTATGCGGGGAGGGGGATGTTTAGTGAACGACTCGTCTCCCTCCCCAGCGTCATACCCGCGCTGGATCCCCAAGCCAGGGGCTAGCTAGCGATGGAGGAGCAGCAACATGGTATACAACCGGTCTCTAGGCGAACCCATCCGCACCGTTGCACTGTAGTGTGCGGAGGTGCGTGGGTATGGTCGACGATGAGACGACTACATAAAAGACTGGACACCCTTCAGGACCCCTTCAATGAGTTCGAAGTTCGTCCGTACTCAGCCCCTCACATCCGGTCCTCCTCCCACCATCTCACCGCTGTGAAAGACCACTCGCCACAATATGGCAAACGCAACCGACCCCGTCGCCGCCGCCGGCACACTCGACCCTCATCTATCGCAGCACTGGCCAGCAGCGACAGCCGGCCTCGTCTTCATCGTCTTCACCCTCCTCGCACAGAGCTTTTTCAAGGTCGACCCCGTAGCCCACGTGCCCGTCGTAGGAAAGGGCGGGAAATGGACGCGCAGAAAAGCGTATCTTGCAGGCAAGGGGCCGCAGCTGTACGCCGATGGGTATAAGCAGTTCAAGGACAGCATCTTCCGCATCACGACGTCCAAGAGTGAGTTTGCAGGAATAGGTCAAGACTATGTTGACAGTGACTTGCGCTGACTTACACGCCTTAGAGGAGGATACCATTTGCGTGCCTCCCAAGTACCTCCCCGAGTTGAAGAAGGTCCCCGACGATGTCATCAGCTTCACGAGGGCCATTGACGAGGTATGCGAAGAGCCGACCCTCTTCTTATCCCCTAGACTTTGCAAATAGTTCTAAATACTAACTTGACCAAAAGTCCATGCAAGTCAAATACACCCAAATCTCAAACGACATGCCCATCATTATCCACGCCGTGAGAGCGTCCTTGACCCCAGCTCTACGTGCGTACCGCCTTCACCCATCTCCCAATATCAAAGACCTCCTCCCAAAACTAACACCCCCCTAAACAGCCCGCCTCAACGAAGGCATCTCAGACGAAGTAATCGACTCCATGCGCCTCGAACTCCCCCAATCCCCCTCCTGGACCGAAATCAACATCAACGCCAAACTCCTCCGCATCATCGCAATGGTCTCGGGCCGCGTCTTCATCGGCTCCGAGCTCTGCCGCGACGAACGCTACCTCGACGCCTCAATCTCCTACACCGTAGACCTCATGACCGCAGTCCACGTCATCGCCCTCGTCCCCTCCTTCCTCCGCCCCCTGGTAGCCTCCTGGCTGCCCACCACAAAGAAGCTCTACAAGCGCCTCGCCGACGCCGAAGCCGTCTTCCGCCCCATCGTCACAGCCCGCAAGGAGGCCGCCACGAGGGACGATTACCGCGAGCCCGATGATATGCTCCAGTGGATCCTCAACGCGCAGTCGAAATTCGGGGAGCTGAGTGATCGCGAGCTTGCGTTGGCGCAGCTGGGGATTAGCTTTGCTGCGATTCATACCACGTCCATGACGACGCTGAATGCGGTGTACTGGCTTGCGGCGAAGCCTGAGATTGCCCCCTTACTCCGGGACGATATTCAGAAGGCTCTCGTCGAGTCTGGTGGGAAGTTTACGAGCAGCGCGCTGCAGAATATGAAGAAGCTGGATAGCTTTCTCAAGGAGGTGATGCGCGTGAACCCGATTTCAGCAGGTAGGTACTCACTCTTCACACACGCACCCACTTCCTATGGGGAACCACAGACTTGGCCTTTCATCCGGTCTAACACCCCCCCTCCAAAAAAAAATTCCCATCAAAAACTGAACCTTTCACCCCTTTTTAGCCTCCTTCACCCGCAAAGTCCTTAAAAACGTAACCCTCCCCAACGGCCAAACCATCCCCGAAGGAATGTTCATCGAGGTCCCCGCCGGCGGCATGAACAACGACCCCGAAATCTTCCCCGACCCAGAAACCTTCGACCCCTTGCGCTTCTACAAGCTCCGCGAGGCAAAAGAGCTCGCCACCTCGGGCACCAAGGCGGCAGAGGTCGTCATGCAGGCCCAGTTCGTCAGCGTCGGCACCACGCACTTGACGTTCGGGTACGGCAAACACGCCTGCCCGGGGAGGTTTTTCGCGGTGAATGAGATTAAGATGATTATGGCGAGTATTATCTGCAATTACGAGGTGAAGCTGCCGGAGGGCGTGACGGAGAGATATGAGAATTTGGCTTTTGGCGCTGCTGTGAGTTTCCCTTTTTCCCCCCTTTTTCCCCCCTTTTTCCCTTTTTTTTCCATTAAAAAGCCTCGATCTAGGGGATATGATTATCCTGCGACATGGAATGGAGTGATGCTGACGTGGACTGCTGCTAGACTGTTCCGGATCCCAAGAAGACAATCATGATCAGGAAGCTGTAAGTGGGCATTAGTGAAGATTGTGATACGGATACGGATACGAATTCGGAGAGGGATGATGAACTTTGCAGCAATGCGTTACTGTCACTCGAGAAGAGTGCGGAGTAACGAGCGATTTACTTTTTGAGTCATGGCCAGACCCTGCCAGCCTTCCTTATCAACCAAGTCCATCATCTGAAAATTTGGCAACATCCAATGTACATATAGCGCTTGAAATTTCCGTGATGCTTCTGGACTTGTATCCTTTTTTTTTTTTTTTTTTTTGAGATTTACGTTCAAGGGTCTGTTATAGACGGTATACTAGGAATGGGGGGGTATCAATTCAAACTTCCATATCGTCAACGTCAATCCTCTCAACCACGCTCCGCTTCGGCCACTCAATCCACGGCTTCCACTCGTCGTCCAACGTCCTCTCAATCAAGCGCATCACCGCGCTACTCCACCCGTCGCAAAGCCAGTCGGTCTTCTCACACGGCTTCGCCAGAGCGGCGTAGTGCGCCAGGATGACGAGCGCGGTAGAGTGCCCGCTGGCCACCATGTCGATAAACATGGCGGGCAGGGTAGCCGACCACCCCCACACCCCGCCGGGCTTCTCCCCCGCGCCCTTGCTCATCTGGTGCGCCCTCCGCAGCCCCTCCAGCGCCAGCACGCAGACGGACTGCGGGTTGATGACGTCGGTGAAGGACGCGGGCACCTCTCTCGCCAGCGAGGTGATGGCGTCGAGGCGCTTCTGGAAGGCCGACGTCGATACCCAGCCGCCCTGCGTCAGCACGGGCGGACGCAGCAGGGCGTCGAGGGGACCTCCGCGCTGCCTCCATGCCTCGATGGGCTGGAAGTCGAGGATGCCCTTGACGCCGTGAAGGAGGGAAAAGGACTGCGAGACGTCGCTGAGCGTGATTTGCCTGCCGAAGCCCTCGCTGTGTGCCACGGAGCAGATGCTGACAATGAAGATAAGCGTCGCCAGGAAGAAGTAGGCCTCGCAGTTGTCCTTGTTGATGTCGTTTAGACGGAGGGCGAAGAAGCGCAGTGCCTCATTCTGGTGGTTCACCGAGATGATGTCGTACTTTTTCCGCTCTTGCGGGTGGATGTGTGCGTAATGGAGGGCGGATAAGGCCAACAGGCCGTGCATGAGGAATTTCTGTTGTTGAGTTGTGGTGTTAGCAAGACGAACTGGTTCGCAAACCTCGAATCGTTCCATTTCACCCACCACCTCTCCACGGCAGAAGAAGAGGGGTGGAACGAAAGCACAGTTGGCCCGTTGGGGTAAGGTTCTGACATACGTGAGAGCAAGCCATCTCGGGTATAGCCGTCTTCCAGAGCTCTTCGGTACAGGCATCTTTTGGCAGGACGTGCCGGGTACTGGTGCTGTAGTGGTGCATCAGGCGTAAACTCTGTAGCCAATCCTCCGAGAGATCCCAGGGATCTGCGGCGGGGTTGCGAGGATCTGGCGCCGCTTCACCCCCGGGATAGGGAGGAGTGCTTCTCACTGAGGAGACGAGGTTAATTCTCTAGTTCTGAGCAGATGCCAAGGGTCTGTGAGATTGAGATTGATCATATCATACCTGCTGTGTTGGGGGTGAGACCTGCTTCACTCGCCGCTTCTTGCACGCCATGATTTGACTGCTGCGAAGACGAGGTGGACGAGGTTGTCACCCCCGCTGCCGCGGCCTGAATGGGTGCGTATCGTTGCGCATTCTGAGCAAGCTTGGCTGCGGCGGGTGGCGTGAGAGGCGCCGTTACCGATGCGGGACGGTCGAGTAGACTGCAGTGTGCCCCATGGGCAACACACTTCTGACACGGTCGTTCCTCGTCACACTACACGAGACACACACACAAAGAAACATGAGTTCATGTCTATACGTAGAGCGGGAAAACAGAGTCGCGTCGAACACCAGGGACGTTATCGTACCTTGACACGACGTGCTTTGCAGCGCTGGCAACCGTTCCTCGACTTTTTGTGACCGAGGCGCCTTGTACGCTTCTCCATGGGCGCGCGCGCGCGATGCCGGCACGGGCTAAGGGTGGTGGACAAGGGGTGTTTGAGGTACACCGTTGGTTGGATTTGTGGTGGAGAGATAATACACCGTGGATTCCGTGGGAACTGGAAGTGTCGAAGCGGGTTCGGGTTCGTAAGATGGCCGCGTGGGTGAAAGGGTTGGAAATGGCCAGGACTCACTCAGCAGAGAAATGAGGGAGAACAATGAAAGAAAAAGAGAATGCGAACGGCCAATGCACTGACTACGAAGGACGTCGCCCAATAAGGGCCGGTATTTGCCGAATACGGGGGGGGATTTCGTAAGTCAATTACGAGGGGGCCATTGAGGGAAACGAGGAACCTGACCACCTCAAGCTTCAAGGTCGCCTGCCGGGGGCTGTCCACAGGGCGCAGGTCGCTTGGCTGCTGCTGCTGGGGAAACTCTTGCAGATCAAACCGCCAGTCGTCACGCTAAGACTGTGGGGGAAACGCCGGTGGAACCGCTGAAGCAGCACGAGATACGAATGCGGTCTCACTAATGCGAATCCGAGGTTTCCTCGACGAGTGCCGCGGGGGAATAACACTCGGAGACTCAAACACAATCCTGAATCTACGCTATAAGGCTGAGAACCCGGGGCACTTGTCGACTCTTTCAAGAAGGCGAATGTTACCCGGACTGAATCATTTCAAAACTCTCTTTTTTTTAATGTGGGTAAAACCCGCGTACCTTATTTCTACGAGATCTGGTAGCCTTGTTCAACGACACGCACTGCATGGATGGAGTCCGTTCAATAATACCTTCTACAAGGGGGATTCGAACCCGAGACCTTCAAAAATCAAAATCACCGGGGGTCGAGCAGCTGGCGCGGAGGTCGGGAGTGAGCAGTCCCAACTGTTACGCCAAACGGTCTCCTCATCCGATGGTGACAGAAAGAAGCAAAAAACTAACCCATAGACCATGCCCAGCCGGTGACTGTGTGGCTCCTTCCCTCCAAGTCACCTGCTTCCATCAACGCCACTACAGTCAGAACAATATCAATGTTTGTCTCGGCAGGAACAGCGAGTGGCTCCTACTTTACTTGTCTTTCTTTCCCTCCACCTCGTTTTGAACCACGACTGAGCACGTAATCGATCCAACAGTCTACAGTGTGTCTCACGGCTCGGAGGACTCATCGTTTATGTGACCCTCGACAACATCGGAGCTGGACATTTTCAAGATCCCGAAGACTGGGGTATCGACCCTGCTACTACATACCTGCATAGAAATGGCAAGACACGGCTGCACGGCACTCGGCATCCTCTCAGCCCATAGCCCACTCGAGTCTCACCTCCATCATTTTCCTACCCGGGTCTAAACTACTACTGGCGCATCTCGCTCTTGAGAACAACGCGGCTGTGACGCGGTTCAATGGTGCCTAAATACTAGCTTTCATACTACATACTAGGACCTCGCAATCTGGGTGGATGCGACGCCGTTGGTGTTCACCCTGATGCCTCCATATTGGTGGGTATAAAGTCAAGCTGACTACCTTTGCTACGGCAGCCGCTCACGAAAGCTACTGTTGTTCTCTCTAGGCTGTGGTACAAAGAGATATAAAGTTAGGCGGCTGGTGAGTCCTTTTACTTCTGTCTGATTCTTGAGCCACTGCTTAGTTCTCTTTTCCCTTTACTTATAATCGCTTGTCCTCTGGCTCGCTGTGCATCTACATGCTAGAGCCAACGTATCCGTGGACAAATACGTTAGATCGACCGGGGACCACCTAACGACCGTTTAGGTTTTCTAACTCTACGGATTGATGTATTGAACCATAACCGATACCGTTGTTTGCCAACCAAGCCCATCGTAGATCCCGGTCCTATACTTCAAGTCTATACCGGTCCTTCCCAGATTGAAGGCAACAGCTGAGGCACTTGATATGAAAGTCTCAGGGCATGAAGTTATTTAGGTCCTCGGGCTGAGACTCTTGCCGCCGCCCATGAGGACAATACGGTAAATTGAGCTGCTATACACCAGTGCCCGAGCCATGACCCAACCCCGAGTCTCATTTCCCATCCTGTGACCCTATGGTTATGCCATCTAGTTATGTCAGGCCTTAGTCATTAAGATCGTGGCCTTGCCTAACAATAGGCAGACTTTTGATAGATACATGGAAGAATTCTCATTGCTTTCCGGAACTCATTTTACGGTCACGACACATGGAGAGATCCGCGACTGACGCGGAAAGCCATTATTCTCTAGAGAGCCTACGCATTCAGAGATACACACCTCATTTATGGGAGAGGATGGGGCCTCACTGGTTACTTTGCACGGTGCTCTCATAATAATATTCGATCTATTTTTATTCCTATTCCCATCTCCTTTTCCAATTCCCACCGTGATCCATACTTTCCCAACCTAGCTCAAGAAACGATACATAGCGCTACTTCCTACCTCCCAGCAACCCGCTGTCCAAGTAACAGTGTTCGATCTAAGGTACCTAGGGCTTCGGGCCTTGTACCGAAGGGAAATTGTAAGTCTTCTTCTCGCCCGCAGAGCGAGGAAGGCACTCAATCTTGAAACACGATTCATCATCTTGCTTGGAACAACTTGGGCAAGAGGAAGGCTCAAAAGGTGGAAAGTCGTCGTCAGATTTAAACCTGCTAATGATGTGGTTGAAGCAGTACGTCTCTCCAGGCTGGGCTTGGTCGATGAACTCGTTGATCCCCACAATCGGATCATAATATTTCGTGAGCATGGGAATGACCGCAACAAGAATATCCCGAAACTCATCACCATCCTCCGGCATATCGATATCGATGTTGAGACTGCTGAGGCTGGTAAAGACGTCTCGAAGGCAGTGCTGCCAGACGGACGTGTTCTGAACGTACTGATCGTACCGTAACTGATCCTGCTTCTCCACCTGCTGCCCGTTGTAGATCCGGATCACCTCCCTGGCGTCGTCGAGCTCGGCCTTCAGGCTCGCATACTCTTCCCGGAGCTTGCCGACTTCTTTGGCGAGGCGGATTCTCGCGGCGCTCTCCTTCTTCCACCATTCTCTGGCAATCGCGGGCTGGCGCTGGCTGTTGTCTTCCCGCTGCTGGTGGAGTTGAAATTCGAGCGCTAGTCTCTGCTGCATGCGTCGGAGCTTTGCGGCCTCGGCGTCCAGTCTGCTCTTGGATTCTGCGTCTGCGTTGGCTGCATGTGTGCCAGTGGAGGCATCACGGAAGTCAGAGTCCTCGATCCCGAATGGGTTGGCCAGCGGTCTGCGCTCCGACTGCGCTCTATCGATAGAGTCGAAGACTTGCGGGGTTGCTTGGAATTGCTGGTATGGCTGCTGCGACTGGGGTGCGCCGCTGTCTGAACTCGCAAAGAACGGTCCTTTGGGGCCCGTGATTTGCTGACCGAAGTTGCCTCCAGTGAATGGGCTGTTTCCCCTAGAAAAGCTCGACAGGTTGAGAGAACCAGTGGGAGGCGATGCGGGGAGCGTCATGGTAGACATGGCGCCTAACTGGGGAGATTGCATTGGAGGCATGTTCAACTGATGGAAGATGGATGGAGATGAAGTTGCTGAAGAGGTGTTATGGACCGCTAGTTGTTGAAAGGGAGTCGTAGGTATGGATCCGGAGGGCCTGGGTCGAAGGCCCTGTCCTCCTTGACTGCCGGCTCCGGTATTGGTATTCATCTTGATGCCGCTGGATAGTGACTGACTGCAATGAATGTTGCAGAAGAAAGTTTGATGGGAGAATGTCGAAATGAGGGCAGTATATAAAGTTAGATCGCGTCGACTTTGTGAATTGAACTACTCCTAGAAGATTTGTCTACTTCATTCCGGAAGATGGAATCTGAAAGACCAGGCCTCATTGAGCAATGTACCTAGATTCACATGTGTCTAACGACAGCCGGTCACTTGACAAAGAAACGCTACATTTACAAAGAGGAATGTGGTTATAAAACATCAGGAGCTTCAAACCCACGTTGGATGAGTTCCAAATCCCTTGTCATTTTGAGACATCGGCCTTTGAGGTATGAAGAACATGGCAGAAGCCAACTTACCCTGAGACAAGTGAACACTCATAATCTCCAAGACTGACACAGTTTTGAGTGGTATGCACTTGAGTATCAAGCATCAGAATAATGCTCTGATACTTTAAGCCTGGAGCTCCAAGAAGCGAATAGAACTGGAGTCTAGTCTCTCGGTTTCATAGGATATGTCGGCCTGTACCCTAAGCTATCGAAATGAAGCATGGAAATATGACTGCATTGTATTGTTGGTTAGATTGTAGCAAGGAGGGTCTGCTCACCGTTACTTTCCTCCCTACCGGTGGCATAGAAGCAGTCACGGAGGACCCCGAGTATAGACCCACTTAATCGGTGCCGAATTTCTGACAGAACATGCCAAGTCCGTGCACCCAGAGCGAACTGGTCTCCACTTAAAAGCCGCACCAGAAACCGACAGGGACCTTCATCGGCCAAAGGGCCAACCCTTAATCCGTTGCAATCGCGCATCGCCAAAATTTCGGGTCCTGCACCATACCAAGCTACCCATTGCACCACTACCAACCCGGAGCCTCCTACGAAACGAGGTAAAGGCGAACCCTCGAACAGCAAACCGACGAAGCAACAAGCGTACACGATACTGGTCAATTGACCCTCAACCCAGCCCCAGCCCAGCCCAGCCCGATCACACACACCAAGAATCCTCCCCCACCCCGAGCTCGGGAAAGAGCCGACACCGACAACCCAAACCGCCCAACATGAGACCCTCACCCGTCCTCCAGGTCCTGAAATACAGGCACCTGAAGCTGACGACCAAGGACGTCAACAAGGGCTTCTACAAGGGAAATCGCACGGGCGCCATGGGTCGCCACACAAAGTACGGTGGCTACGTGATTGAGTGGCACAAGGTGCGGACGTACGTCGTGCCGGAGGGCTTGAAGGATTTCAAGGTAAGGGACAGACAGCAAACCTATGGCGCATCCCCCGTTGCTTCATGAGAGCGATGGGATGGGGCCGTATATGGTAGACAAAAACGTTTTGGAGACTGTCTGGCTGACTTGGTAATGTGACAACTTTGTAGCTCACGCCATTCGTCTCCGATGCTGTGCGGCCCCTGAGGGGAGCCTACGCCACGAAAGAAGGTCCCCGCGACCCCAAGCTTTACCTCGAGAACTGGAAGCAAGTGAACGGTGTGGATTAAGGGGTGGAGTCCAGCTTCGTGGGAGGATCAATAAGAAGAAGAAGAAGAAGAAGAAGGAAGGCGTAAGAGAGCGAGACACGAGAGTCCGCTGATCGACGACGAGAGGTCGACGAATCCGAAAACAGGGGGGGGCAGAAACACATATTCTCCCCCCAAACAAGAGTGTACAAGAGCTGTATATACCCTCGACGCTGTAACAATATGTAACAAAAAAACACATATCCAACAACATTGCAGAAGGGTCTCGCAGAGTGTTAGGGTTCGTGAATGAGACCCAATGGCGAGAGAACAAGCCCCGCCAAAAGGGGAAGGTCTTGGAACTATGACGATGAAGGTTTGTATACACACTACAATTGAAGCTTTTTTATATCCTGTTCTTATTTACACAGTAAAGTCTCATACAGTCTGCTCCAACCCCCCACCATTAACAACCTCCTTCCCCTTCCCCTTGGCGAGGGGCAAATCCTCCGCCGCCGTGACAAAGTTCTCCAACGGCGGCCTCTTACTCTCAGTCTCTCCTGCTGCGGGAACCTGGGTGCTGGCCTCGGAAGCCGAAACCCCGTTCCCATTGACCCCATCAGTCGCATCCGTGTCCGTCCGGTTCAGCTGCGGCATGGGGCTAATCGGCCGGCTATCAGCGCCCGACATGAGCGTCACCATACTCGCCGTCTCAGCGTCCTTCTTGCCGAGACTGAACGGCAGCGCAATGCCGTCGAGGAACGGCCGCTTGCCTGCGACGCCAGTGCCGCCGGGGATGAAATCCGGGTTAAGGTGGTTTCCGTCGGCGGCGGCCTGCTCATTATGCTTCTCTTGTTCCTTCCTCTTCTCAATGAGAGCCGCTACCGGCGTTGCATCTTCCACCGCCGTCGTCTGGGAATCTTCCACCTGAAAGGGATCCGGCGTCTCCTCCTCCTCCGTCTGGTGCTCGTCCCGCACGAACCGTCGTTTACTGCCCGTAGGCGAAGCAAGCGGTGCAGGATCCTGATGCTCAATATCCTCAAACGACCTCGCTCCCTCGCCGCCCCTCGGCGAAGTCTGCGACTCCCGCGTCTGCTGCGACGTCCTGCCCGCGGCAGCGGCGGCATCGGAATCGGCCCTCTTCTCCCTCTTCGTCGTCGTCTCGTCGTGCTTCGAGCCCCAGAGCGACCACAGCGCCAATCCGATACTCTTGGTCTTCTTCCTGTCCACCAGCTCATCCGACGCCTTCCGTCGACCGGCCAGCGCCGTGGGCGGGGGCTGCTCGCCGTCGCCGAAATCCATGTACCCGTCCGCCAGGTCCTTGATGATGCTCTTGTGGACCTTGGCCTTTGCGCTCGAGAATTTCTTGTCAAAGGTGGCTTTGGTGTCGAGCCACCGCCTCACGGGCGTGGGCCTGACGACGCCGACCTCTTCCGACTTCATGATGCAGCCGTCTAGCTCAGATTCAGGGGGTAAGTCGGAGACGACGCCGCGGGTGCTGATCTTTTGCCGGATCATGTGCTTCTTGAAAGGCGGTAACGGCATGCCCGCCTTCCCAACCAGTTCCGGAGGCCCCGCGTTCTCCGTCTGGTCGACCCCCTCCTTATCAGAATCCGACGCGGAGCTGGAAATCATGGAGATGTCATCGTCGTCCAGAATCTCAATCTCCGTCTGCTGCGCCCTCGCCAGCGCCCAGGCGCCAAACTGCGCGACCGCGCGGTACATGTGTTTCGCGGGCCGGGTGAAGCTGAGCGTCGGCGCCACGTGGCACAGGTCGTCCCAGACCTGGAGCTGCACATCCGTCGGCTTATACTGCTTCAGCTGCGCCATCCCCGCGTCGTCGAGGCCCGGCGGCGGGTATTTGGCGGGATTCGCGCACTTGTGCGCCACGTAGATTTGCTCGTCGCGTAGGACCTCGCCACCACCTACCATGATGAGTAGCGGGCAAAGGCCGCCCAGGGTAGGCTGCATTACCGGGCTGACCATTGGATGGGAGAGCAAGGCGTTGGTTGTGTACATCTACAGAGCCGTCAGTATATCCCGTGAGAGCGAGACAGCACGAAGAAAAGCTTACCTGGATCTGGTCCTTGACTGTGGTAAGCTTACCGTCAATAGTGACGGAAAGCTGCAAGGCCGTCTTTGTGGGATCCGCATTTCCATCAGAGTCAGACGTGCCCCCCAACGTCTCGTTGCCATCGCCCAGCGCAATCGGCGCAGCCTGCTTCCTCTCGAGCGTATTAAGCTTTGTGGCGCTCTTCTCCTTGCCCGCCCGCGCCTTGATGGCCTGCTCCCTCATCATCTCCATATCATCCTCGTTCGGCGGCGGCCAGCTCCTGGACGGCTTGTGGTGGAAGCCGGACGACGGGATATAGTCCATCTGGTTATCCCCCGAGACGCTGGGGAACGAGTGCGTGAGATCGACCCAGGGGCTAATGAGGACCGCACCCGCGGGTAAAGGAATACCCCGGTCTCGCAGGATACACAGCATCGAGAGCACCATGCCGCCGCCGGCCGAGTCGCCCGCCAGCACGATGGTAGTCGGGTCCTGGACGGTGAGGAGGTAGAGGTAGGCCGCAAGACAATCCTGCAAACCGCAAGGGAACGGAAACTGCGGCGCGAGACGGTACCGCGGCGCGAGGACCCTCGCCTTCAGCTTGCGGGCGTGCCGCTGCATCTGGTAGCGGTGCTCGTCGACGCTGCCAAAGAAGTAGGCGCCGCCGTGGACGTAGAGCATCACCCTCTTCGTCTTGCCGTCGTTCTTCTTGCGCTCGTGGTAGTCTGCGCGCATCTCGATCCACTCGGCCTTGAGGGGGCTCTGCGGCTTCCGCCATTTCCACCACTTGCACCCCCCCACGGCTCGTATGCCTTGAGGTCCCAATTGTGCCGCAATCAGACCGGTCGATTTCTCGAGCTCGGTCTCGGGGATCTCGACATCTTCTACTTTGACCCATTGCGGGTGGGGAACCCATTGGGCTGTGAAGGCTTGGAGCTCCTCGACTGTGTGTTGGGCAGCGAATTCGAGGAAGGATCGGACGAGATGCAGGCCTTCGTCATAGGATAAGTGGGAGTTGGGCCCTCCCTTTGAGGTTTTTCGATTGAGGTACTGTGAGATTGAGGATCAGTCAATTGCTTCTTGAATTGCAGTAGCCATCGAAATCCCCGAGGGGGGTTGCATTGCGTATTCTGTGACATCAAATCCGGGGAAAGCTATGCGCTGGGGAATAGGGGAGAGACTCACATGTGAAAAGAGGGTGGATACGACGGTTGGCGTGACTGCCAACGACACCGAAGTGGTGTTGAGCTTCAACGGGTTCATGATTTCCTCGTTCTGGTCCTCCCTCACAGAGTAGAAAGCCGAAACGAGAATCTGCTGCAGCTCGCGCCCCTTCGACCTGCGGGACTTCTTGGCTTTTGAAAGCTCCCCCCTTTGACGAGAGCGGTGGACGATCCTATACGGTTTGTGGAACAGACCATCACGTCGCCGGAGCACAGAAGAAAGCCGTACCCTGAAACCTCCTCCCCCCTCCCCAGATGGCTAGAGCTCACTACCGGATTAGGGGACCGATGACATCACTTGCAGCGCCCAAGTGGATGAGCCAATGTCCGCTGGGCCTGGTCAACCGGCCGTAGCTTCATCACCAGCTGCCAGGATCATGAATAATGAGGAGACTGGCTGCTAAGATTACTTAGGCATGCGCTGATTTTATGAGATATTTCATAGGATTTAAGCGACATTTTGGACGCGGGCATTTGTCTGTCTTGAGAGAAGTTGCCCGGTGCTTAGGTGCTGGCAATTGGCGACCCAATTGTGCATCTCCAGCTGAGAGTTCCCTCCCGCACGGGGCCCTGGCATGCCTGGCTAGGCGCCGAGAGCGGGAACCGCCCGGGATGGGGTGGCCACGGTCCCCACACAGCACAATTGACAGTGCAAATCGTCGCATGCACTATCCATCCACCAGGGGGGGGGGAAAAAATTTGTGACCTGAACAAACTGTTACCGTACCCAAAATCTGCCCCTCCAAGATACCCCGCGAAAACAAGGTCAGTCAGTCGACTTTCACGCATCAAAGTCAAACATGGCAACCACCGCCCCCATCACGGCAGGCAAGTTCCCCTACACCAAATACAAACACCATCTACATTGAAACATCCTAACATCAGTGATGTAGAGGCCTGCCAATCAACCTTTGAACAAGCCGTCGCCCTCTCCCTCCACATGTGGCCCGCCCTCTCCCTCGCCGTCCAAAACCACTGGGGCGGCCCCGACTCCGCCGACAAACGAGACTGGTTCGCCGGCGCCGTCGCCGAAATCTTCCCAACTTTCACCAAAATCTCCGCCGCGGGCCAAGCCATGCCCGCCACCGCCGCCGCCGCCGCCGAGGAGCCCGATACGGGCTACGTCGAGACCATGCTGCTGCAGGTCATGCTGGACGAGTTCGAGGTCAACGTCGACGACGAGACGGGCTACGACGTCGCCGAGCAGATTGTCAAGCTGCGCGTCGAGTGCGCAAAGGGAAACTTTGCCGCCGTCGACGAGCTGCGCAACAAGTGGGAGAGCCGCAAGGGCGCTAAGGTGGAGGGGTTGTATAAAAAGGTGGAGGCCGGCGACCAGGATACCGATTGGGAGGACGACGACGACAGCGAGGAGGACGATGAAGACGACGTTGAGATGGACGACGCGCCTCAGCTCGTGCGTGCGCCAAAGGAGAAGCAAGAACCGGAGGTCGACGAAGACGGTTTCACCACGGTCACCAAGAAGAAGAGATAAAGGAATTGTCTTATAAGCAAAAAAGAAGCGAAGAGAGAGAGAGAGAGAGAAGAAATACCCCCTCCACCACCGCGACTTTGGTTCTCAAAAGCAAAATGCTTCACTAGGGGCCCCGCGTGGCTGATGTACAGATGTCCGCATAATTAAGAGCTTGTCATTCAAGCCAGAGAGAAAAATCCAAAAAGATCCCTCCCAAATCAACGCCTATCAGCAAAAAGGGAAAAGCATGCCGAATAACAGACACCCCCCTACTACTCCCAGTCATCGTCACTATCGTCGGCCTTGCGGGAGTCCTTGGGGCTGTTGGGGGCTTGGCTAGGGACGCCAGACGTGGCACCAACAACGTCGTAGCTGGTGTCACTGTCGGCCTGGGACTTTTCGTCGTTGGACTTGCGGGACTCGGCGGGCTTGAGGGTGGAGGAGGTCTGGGCGGGAGGCTGAATGGTAGTGGAGGACTCGGCTGATGGCGGGCGGGCTTGCGTCTGCTCAGTCTTGGGAGCAGCAGCAGCAGCAGGGGCGGGAGTGACAGCGGCGGTAGCAGGGGCTGCAGCACCAGGAGCAGTTGCAGTGGCCTCGTCGTCCGAGTCATCATCCCAACCAACTTCGTCCTCGGCAGAAGCAGCTGGGCCTAGTTAGCAAACAGTTGTGATAATCCAAGATGCCTTTACTCACCCTTGAGCAAATCACGTCGTCGGGTCTCAGCAGCCTCCAGGCCGTGTCTGAGGAAGTAGTATCTCTTCCAGAACTCGGCATAGGGAACCTGATCGGGCACGAGCTTCTCCATCGTCGTTCGCAGTTCGGGGTACTTGTTCAAGTCGTCGCTAATCTCAGCCGTCTTCTTCTCCGCGTCAAAGGTCTTGGCCCAGGTCGCGAATTCCTCCGTGGCAGGGTCCTTTGCGAAGCTCTCGGTGCTCGTGTGGATGACGTGCAGCTGGGCGTCTTGCCTCGAGGTGTGAATCACCCGCTTGCCTTGTGCGTCCTTGCTCTCGAACATGACGGCACCTCCCTGGTTGTTGGCGTCGGTGGGCGGCGCGATGCTGACCGCCTCCTTGAGGAAGTTGCTAATATTGGTGCCGAAGCGGAGCAGAGCTTCATCGGCGGCGTCCTCGGCCTTTTGCAGGTCCTTGAGCCGCTTGGCTGCCTCGGAACGGAGCCGGGTGAGGTAGTTCTCGGAGCTGCTCATGGCGTCGTCCGAAGCTGCTAGGTCTCTGGTCTTTGTGGGGGTCGTCTGGCTGTCGGTCTCCTTGCTCTTGTCTCCGGAGGACTCGTCTTGCGTCGTCGTGTTGACGGTGAGGGATCTCGTTCGGCTGATGATCGAGCTGAAGCCCTTGGATGCGTCCTGGCCGAGCTCCGTCACCTCTTTGGAGGCTTCCTTGTAAACTTCTTGTCCCTAGCATCACCGGGTTAGCCGGCTCCTTCATTCACTCCCTTGGAGCTCTTGTATGGTGCATCGCCTCACCTGCTTCACGGCACTTCCCAAGAAACCGCCGATGCGCATGCCCCAGGGACTGGACGAGATAGCCTTGTAGGCCTCCTGCAAGTCATCGTTCAAAGATGACTGCGGCTGGTCGGATTTGGTGTCCTTGGCGTCGCCATTCTTCTTATCGGCATCCTTGGGGAGAGAGTTCTCCTGGATGTGATCGTACGCCAGATCCATGGCAAGCGCGGCAGAGTCCAAGCTTCGTCGAGTCGACGCTGGTGGTTGTTTACTCGGGTGGTCTTTTTCGAATAAGCCCGTTGCGAGGCTAAGGCTGGTCGGTTCGTGCGGGAGTGGAGTTTGAGGCGAAGTCGTGCGATGTGTGTCGAGAGCTGGGTCTGGACGAATGATGTCTGGCTTCTGACATGAGGCTGCTTCTTTCCCTTCCGTTTCCCCCTGACGGGCCGGCTGGTGGATGGCTGCATGGTGGTCAATGCGGGGGCGTACAGAGTACGTCCACGAGTGGATCCCCGGCGCGGCCACTGCCGGAACCTCTTTCGTTTCTGGCATTTTGCCGTCTCCCATTCTGTTGCCTTACGCCGTGGTAATAACGAGAGTATCGCTTGCATCAAAGCATTCCATCACGCTCGAGTCTCACCTGCGGGCCGCCGCACCCGGAGCCAAGTCTTTGCAGCGCGAAGACATACCTCGTAGCCCGGTAACATCGACCTGAATTATGGAAACATTTCAAGGCGGCCGTCAGGGTCATGGATGAGGCGGGACCTATCTTCTGCACGAAGGGACCTGAAAGCGAACCTTTTGAGTTGTTGGTCCGCCCCTAATACCTTAACCCCCGCGCCGGGGACGGAATGACCTCAGCGCAAGCGCCTCCCCAGCCGGCACCTTGCGGTTCCTGTTCCGAGTTGCTCACCATGGAGGCATGCGTGGGCACGGAACGGGGACGGCTGCGGGGGATGGAATCCGGTCGATCTTACCTGGCTCTATGGCGAATTGCGGCGGCTGACCATAGACTTCGAACTTCGACGTCTTGGGTCAATCTTGGTCTAATCTTTTATCGTAAGCCGCCTCCCCAAATGGCGTGCTCCGTCATTGACCACATAGTATATAGCAGTGACAGCCGACCATCGTATGAGGGGTTGGCAGTGTGGCACATTAGACACCCGGCAGCTCTTTACATCCGTTCACCAAAACAAGCACGGCAAGCTCAAGTGATCCTCTCGGCGATAGTGTGCAACTTCGCCTCACCCGCCTGAGCCTCGCGTGCCTCGCTCTTTCGTGCCCTCCACTCGGAAGGAGGCCAAGCATATTCGCAAAGTCCCGAGACGCGCAGTGTGCAGTGTAAGCTTTTCGGGCGGAGTAGCGTCGGGGTCTAGACGCCCTTCTGGGCTTGTGGCGAATGGCGATTTATGCAAAAAAAAAAAGAGATGTAAGCAGAACAGACCACTTCTGGTCCCTGGACCAACAGTTTTGCTAAGGGTCGCACTACGACACAACAGACAGGTGTGGAGGGATGCGACGAGTGTAGGTGGGCCGTCGAGAGCTGTTATCTCGTGCTGTGCCATAAGGATAGGTATGCGAGTTTGTTCCTCGAGTCTGTATATCCCTGCCATGTTGTGATATCAGGGCCGAAACGGTTGCAGAGACGTGTTCGCTGTGTCATTTGTCATCCCAGCATTGGCAGCAGTATCCGTGGTAATTACTTCGTGCTTGTTTTCCCCTTGAAGCGGCACGTCCCACGAGGATGGCCAGGAAGACGATCACTTAGATTATCAGATCTAGGCAGCCACTGGTAGGCCCCTTTTTACTATTCGTACCAACGCCCGCTGCATGGGACCTTTTGCGTGAAGGGCTAAATAAGGCCAAGGCGGTCTCGCGGCCAGCAAAGATAAGAGTTCCAGCCAGTCATCCCCAGTTTCCAAAGTATGATAAACCGTAAAATAATGTACCTTTCTCTAAGTGTAGCTGCCAAGCTGGGTCATAGTAGGGGAAGCGTAAGCCTCGACATGGGCTTCGCCTGTTGCGCCGGACGCACTCGGGGTTTGAACGGGGCTTACAGCGGGATAATAGACTATCTTGGCCGATGTAACTGGATGGCGGATCGACGCTGTATTCGTACGGATAGACGCTACGACGGCTACCTCCGGCAGATATGGACATATGCCGGATTTACAGCAGCTTGCAGAGGCTGTGCGGCACGAAGCGGCTGCAGACTAGGTACACAGCTGCCACAGTACCTAGTGAGCAGTGAGCAGAATCTGATTATGGTGGCAGGTGCGGAGGATGGCCCTGACTCATATCCAGCAGGTCGGGCGCGCCGTTTGAAGAATTGACAGCCGGGTCAGGTTAGTGTCTTGGACGTTACGGGGAGAAGGACCCATAAGCCATGGAAGATTGCAGTCGAGGCCAGCAGGCGGAGCTCGCCCTTGGCACTTGGCTGATGACTGAGGTGACTACGGTCTGCTCCGTACGGATAGTGACCCGCCACTCGCATTGTTACGTCCAAAGTGCGATACCCACGTCATGCGATAGATTGGGCGATTTGGTATGGGCAAATTCTGGCTACTGGTGGCTGTTGTGTTGTGTGTTGAGATACCGGGGGAGCCTGGGCTCAGAATCTGCAGACTCGCGATGAATCCGATTGGTAACACCGGATGGGATTTCCTGGACTTAAGTCGGCCCTCGGTTGGGCAATGTCCGTCCGTCGGTACTCCACTCTGTAGGTATAAGTCGTCCTCGCTTCCATCTTGCCGGGCGGTCTTTGCCGTAGATATGTGTGATTGATTCCCAAAGTGATGTGAGAGAGTGAGCAGGTTTAAAGCCAACGGGGAGGCAGCAAGAAGGATGCGTGGCGAATGTTGTCCTTCTTCTACCTCTCCGTTGGTATTACCTTACTCCGTACCGTACCCTAGAAGATGGAATACATACATACATAGGACCCCTCGAGGCATCATCAGACTAGCACCCCCTGCAACAGTAGCGCTCGGTGCCGCGATCCCTCTTTCAGGGCGAGGGCAGCTCAGGTGGACAGGTTCCAAAGTGCCAGGTGCCAGCCGAGTGCCTGAATAGCAGGGAATAAAACCAAATGGAGGGTAAATGGAGGCAAATGGGGGAAAAGAGGACTAGAAACATGGACAATTGTGCAACAGAAATGGATCCGTCGACGGCTGGATGATGCGAAAACGACACCGGCGGGACAGCTGCGCCCTTCGCCTTATCGGTGGTACCGGGCCTCGGAGCCAATAGATAAGCTTCAATCGACCCAGACTGGCCCCGTTAGCGGTCACCTCCGCTGGGACCCCCCGACCTCTCCCACTCTTAGTGTACCTACCGCGGTAAGAAGTACGTATTGTGGTATCCCGGTTCGTACCTACCTTCCCCCCCTCGGCCGACCCCCTCCATCCCCCCCCTTCCTCCATTTGGGCGACCACGACGGCTGACAAATTGATACTGAAGAACGCTGAAATTCTTCCCCCTCCTCACCGTCTGCGGTCGTCCATTCAGTTCGATTCTCTCCACTTCCTACTCAGACGCATCTGCCGTCACCGCGAACCAACAACTTTTTTCTCACTACACCGCACACACGCATCACTGCACACCCTCTCCCAAGCACGTCTTTTCCACCGAATTCCGTGGATTCTGGATCCTGCGAATTTCTGTCCTCAGAGCATAGCAGGTGCCCCTGGAGACCGGCCTGTGAGTCAGGCAGCAACTTTGTCCCCGAAAGGCATCAACTTCTACCTTTCCACCCGCATCCGCATCCCACCCCAGCCAGCGTCGGACCATTGCATTTCGTCACTTCTAAGCAGCCGGACCACCACTCCTACTCGAGGACCTTATACTATCTTCAACCTCTTGACGGCGACTTCGACGTCCAAGAATCCCTCGGTGAAGGACCAGAGGTGTCGCCAAGTAGTCGAGTATTTCCTTGTCCCTACAGACGACATCACCGTTCGATCCGGCCTATCTGGAATCATATCCATCTTGACCCCGGCACCCTGAGCCGCAATCGGCACTCCGAGTTCGCCTTCTTTGATAGCCCTCTTGCACCGAATTGACTCCCGTTTACCTTACCTACACTTCGCCGCCCTCTTACACTCCTTTCGCAATGGCCTCCGCTACGAACAGTGGTTTCCCAACCAACTTCATCTTGACCCCGCAGCAGCAGAGCCTGCTCTACGCCGCCCTCAACTCCAACAAGCAGCAGCTCGCGAACCAGTCTCCCACCACCAAGGATAACTCCATGTCGCCTTCCTCTTATCAGACGTCGCCGGCGCAAGGCGCCGCCGCCACAGGTTTCCAAGAGAGTCCCTACCTCGACAACTACGACTACGACTTTGGTGACTCGAGCTTCGACTTCGATGTCAGCACCGTGGGCCAGGCCAAGATGATCGGCGATATCCCTGGTGGCGCTCAGTCGGCCAAGTCAAACAAGTCAGACTCGACCGAGAACGATGGAAATGACAAGAGATCTCACCCCGACGATGATGAGGACGAGGACTCCCCAGGCAACGACGCAAAGAGACGCGAGGGTGGTGAAAAGGCTCCCAAGAAGCCCGGCCGTAAGCCGCTTACTTCCGAGCCGACCTCAGTAAGTTTCAATGATTGTTCTGGCAACATCCATGATTCTAACACTTCCAAGAAACGCAAGGCACAGAACCGCGCTGCGCAGCGGGCATTCCGTGAGCGCAAGGAGAAGCACCTGAAGGATCTCGAGACAAAGGTTGACGAGCTTGAGAAGGCGTCCAAGGACGTTAACAGCGAAAACAGCCAGCTCAAGGCCAAGATCGACCGCATGACTTCTGAGCTCAACGAGTACAAGACAAAGATTGCAGCCATGAGCACCCGCTCAGTCTCCCACAGCAAGTCTCCCATGGGCTTTGGAAACTCCGCTATTGGCAACCTCAGCGACGTCAACTTCCAATTCGAATTCCCCAAGTTTGGAGTCTTGCCTGGATCTCAAATGCCCAATAAGCCGGCGCAACCCGCAAGATCCTCCTCATCGCCTCTGCAAGTCAACGGAAGCAACCCCGTCAGCCCTCTCAACCACACCAAGGACAACAGCCCTGGTATTATTGCCGGCCTTGATTTTGGTACCAAGGATGACCTCGCCACCTTCACATCCCTTTTCAGCCCTTCGCTTGCCAACGGGTCTATGGGCACCAACACATCTCGCGCCAGCGTCGACTCTGGCTCCTACACCATGAACAACGGCACATCCA